TAATGACGAAATTCAGGAAATTAAGAAGTTGAAAACTTGCGTAAACCAAGATGTGCCTTCAAGTGCTAATAACACTCTCGAAATAATAATTCCAGATTGTGTAAATAAAGTAGTTTTGCGAAAAAAAGATAAAACTGTAATGGTTGAAATATAATGCATGTAAATTATATTGTAAATATTAAGATATAACCACAATTAAATTATATTAAATGTTGTTGTCTTTATCCTTTATTTAGCTCACCCTAAATCAGCAGACCGTGTAGTTAGCTTACTGTGTTAATCCCAATTAGCGATCACATACCATGACCTGAGCTGTGGGTGGGGTTTTCTACAGCCAATGGCAAGTACTTAAGATAACTTCATTCTTCATGAAATAGAACAGTGTCACATGGTCATTTTAAAGGTATCTGATTGGAAGAAAAATGAGGTTATGTTCTAATAATTGTAATCGCCCGTACACACAACCTATTTAAATTGAACTTTCTAAATCTGTTACCTAATCGTCACCCGATACCACGATCTATATTTAAATGTAATACATAAGTTGATAATATCCTCTTCTTTGTCAAACAATAAATTGTAAAATTTAATTAACAAACATTATTCTTGACTATATAGTTCCTGGAACAAAAGGGGGGGTTGGATGGCTGAATGGTTAGCGTGCGCGCGCGCTGTATCATAAAGTCTGTCTTTGAGTCGACTGGCGTGGTTTCGAATCCCCGGTTGTACGTGACAAGGAGTAGGGTCGCCTGTCCAACCTCGTGGGTTTTCTCCGGGTCCTCCCACTGCTAAAGACCCCTACGCACAAGCGAATTATTGAAATAAAATTGAACCATATGTTAGTCCCGAAATGACCTAGTTTGTGTCGAGTGGACGTTAAACCCCATTTCTCTCTCTCCTGGAACAAAAACGATTTACTTCAAACCAATAAATAAAAAAGATGATCGTTCAAAATGCCAGTTAATAATATCCTCTTCTTTATCAAAATGTAAAATTAAATTAACAAACATTGTTCACAATATTTCCTGGAACAAAAGAATTTACAACAAAGTAATAAATTAATAAATATGCACAGTTAAAATGAACCAGAAAACAACCGAAACTGTAAATAGAGGGTATTAAATGTCTGTCTGCTGGGACATCTGGAATGAAGAATAAAATGGACATAGAAATAAAAAAAAAGCCAGTTGATAATATCCTCTTCTTTATCAAACAATAAAATGTAAAATTAAATTAACAAACATTGTTCACAATATTTCCTGGAACAAAAGAATTTACAACAAACTAATAAATTAATAAATATGCACAGCTAAAATGAACCAGAAAACAACCGAAACTGTAAATAGAGGGTATTAAATGTCTGTCTGCTGGGACATCTGAAATGAAGAATAAAATGGACATAGAAATAAAAAAAAATCAATTAACTGCATTACATTACCGCTAAGAAAGAGGCATTGTAAACTTCTTCCAATTAAGTAGGGTTAGCCATACAAATATTTTTTTCTAAATTTGCCTTTAAATTTGGAACAGAACGTTCCTTACCCGCCGAAGAAAAATAAAAAAGTGATTTATCAGAAACTGGCTGATTCATGACGTATCTACGAAATCGGGGCTGTGCTTTCAATGCCTCTTTTGTTTCCCCGAGTGACGAAAACTTTGAAAGCCCATCATCCATTCCTTCTTTATTTATCCAAAGTCCCATCCCCGCAATTTCTGCTGTTAGGCGCTCTTTTTTCCTAATCTCAAGTTGTCCCCCTTTCTTTTAATTTATCCCTTTTCGCCAAAAGAACCTCTAACCGTTTTCTCTCAATCTCTTCGCGCCTTTGTCTAAATTTAGAAAGTTGGTTTTTCGTTATAATTCGAGCATCCATTATGACCAAATTACGTCTATCAGGAGAAAGAGTTTTAAGCCATTCGTTACATTTATTCATTTTATATAAAATGGATGCTTTCTTGCCAAAAGTATTAGACGAGGGCGCGATCTTCATTAATCTAACGAGATGACTGAACACGGTTTCCGGCAATTTGTTGTGAGGCATGGCAGAACCCGAACATGAAGGATTAAAGTCATCTCGATACTCAAGTAAAATATTTGAAATGTACTTTTTAAACTCGACAAAGAGGATTTTAAAAAAAAATGGATGAGGGTTGAATTAATATCGGAATTAAAATCTATTTTTTTTAAGTGATCAAGGACCGGATCGTTTTCAATTTTTATCAGAGATTCAAACGGGTGTGATTTACCTTCTGCAAAGTCATGTAAATTTGCTGTTTCAAAAAAATCATGTAAATTTGCTGTTTCAAAAAAATCATGTAATTTTTTATAAATATGTTTCATATCAAGAGCATTAACACCGCTTTCTAATATGCGCCACAGTGGAGCAGTTATTAGTTTATTTATGGCTACAGAATAATTAAATAAGATACTATGATTATGAAAGTAATTTACACCAAGTTACCGAAAAGTGTCTGGAAAATACAGACTACCACTAAAAAGTTTATTTCGGTTATTTTCCGGTCTCAAATAGTTATGCGTATTTAGAGCTAGCAAATATTTATTTCCTAAAGTAAATACAGCGCCACGTAAACTTAGGTTGTAACGACCAAATAAAAGAAAATCCCAAAATGCTGAAATGAGTTTATCTTGCCACGCTCATGGATTAAAAAGTTAGAAATGAAACGAAGCTATTACAGCTAGCTCTGTACCGAAATCGCCAATAAACCCAAAATCAAAAATTAAACCAAAGAGTTGTAATCAAAATTTTTGCTCACGTTCGCTATTAAATAAACACGAAAGTCGAAGCGCGTAATGAGTGTATTTTTACTTGGCTTCATATACCAATACATGTTTGTATAATACCACGTGGAAAGCTATTTGTGACGTATATTTGCTGCGACCTCCAAAATCACGTGCGCGGGACTAAACATTGCTCACTTCAGAAAATATCCCCGATGATGCAGTCAGGCAGAGACCTGTGCATGTTTATATAAGGACAAATAAGTGACCATTGAACCATGAAAATGAAAGTACAAAAATAGACGCACACAAAATATTGTGGCTAAACTACGTATTTCAATTTCTAAGAAACACACTTCTCAGAAAGTAAAGCGAAAGTGAAAGTACAATAATAAGACTGATAATTATTCACACTACAGGCGTCAATGTTAATTTCATATCATATCTTGACCCGGATTTTTATCATAAACCTTTTATATCAATCGTGTTAAACATGTCATCATTTTTTTTTTTTGCAGTTATTCTTTGATTTAGTTTTTATTTCACCAGCATGTTGCCAGAACATATGGGACGCAAATAAAAAAGGCGTTTTGGTGATACCTGAAGTTTCATCCCTATATATTCCAAATATTCCTACCCCATCAGTCACGAAACAAAGCTAATTTTAGTCTTCCTCCCCCTTTTCCTTTTCCCTTTTTTGCATGGCGATTTTTGCTGACTTTTTGGTGTAGAATCGAAGAAAAGGGTATGAAAATACATTTTCTGCCAGTTTTTGATGAATAGTCAGGATTTTGAGGCGGAGGGATACGGGAGTAATGAGGTTGATTGGCCGAAAATTGCATGTTTGCTTGTCTTTACTTCCAGTTTGTGTATCTCAAGTTTTTCATGATGAACCTCATACGTGCTTAGGGGCAAGCGGTTGCCACATGTTGCTCCATCTGTGGTAGAAAGTGTTCTATCGCACGAAAATTTGCGAAAACGTTAAGCGCCGGTATCATGGCTGGGACATTCTCTAGGCGCCAACCACCCTTCAAACCCACCATATTATAAATGCACTCATTGGGAACTAACTGGTTTCTGAGCAGGTCAAAAGTCACCATTGGTCGCCAACGTCCAATCCACCTTATATACATATCTTAGTGCAAACCTTCAGTACAAAAACAAAATGAGTACCACACCATTCCTTGGGAACCTCTAGGGCAACATCAGTCCTTCAGTGTCACCATTTCTCTGCCACGCCCTAGCCACCTTAAATAATGCGTATCCCAGAACATACCGTCATTAAAGGCATAAAATGGGTATGGATGCTTCTGAGTCGTTATGTTTTAGGAGGAGTTACAAGCACAGCACCGGCATCAACCTGCTACTTGCGACCTCCTGTAACAATGTGACTCCTACTGAGATGCAATGTTGGGGATTTGCCCATTTCTAAGAAGATCAGAAGGCCATACCAAATCCACCTTAAATGTATATCAAAGGTATGCTTTACACCAAGACCCACCAATGACTAGCCTCTACCGCATAAGTTGTTTGCAAAGATGGTTGGTAACTCTGATAAAAGTTACGGAACGCTGAAATTTATCTTTTATCTTTTCAAAACACTATAGTGTCCACTTGATTTTCGGCAAATGGTGTACATCCACAACGAAATGTCGCAGAGCGCTGTAAATTGCTAGTTGGCAGCCAAAGGTCCTCCCTACTAAACAAACTAGTGCTGAAAAGACTAAATTCAGCTACATAACCAATTAACTGTTTTCTCTAAAACTTTCGACACTTGAGCTTGGGTTGTATGCTGGCCTTTAGTTCTTTAGTTGATCTGGGGCGACGGTGACTAAGTGTGTAAAACAATGGCTTGCTAGCCTGGAGGTCGCATGTTCAGTTCATCGGGATTTTCCGGCGTGGTTTCCCCTTATCAGAAGTCCGAATGAGACAAAAAAAACGAGGTCCCGTGTACATATTAGCATGTACGTAAAAGATCCCTTGGCTGTTGGAATTCGATATTAGAGTAGGCCGTAGCGCCGCTATCCGAGCAAAATTTCCCTCATTGCACATTGTGTGGCGGGCGTATGTCCGTCTTCTTTAGCCCAGTAGGAGGAGAACAGAAAGACGCCTTTTCATTACACTTAAATATGTAAAGATAGGTTGCCAGGCAAAGAAATACACGGCCACAGCAGTCAAGTCGTCCATATGGTCCACAAGACTTCAAAGGATTCTTCAGTATACCACTGCATTGAAATTTAGTACAGATGGGCGCTTCCACGGTCAAGCAAGGGCCATAACTCTAAAAGTAATTGAGGGAAATTCTATGTTTGTAGATGTGTGTGCGGCGGACGGTGTCGACCACAATATATGACCATATTTCAATATGGACCTCTAAAACAGACGAAATAAACTATTTATTTAAATTTGTACAGCAATGTTAACAGCGATAATTTAAAATCTAAAACAGCTTAAACTTACTTTCACTCATTGAAATGGATTACTGAGGTTGTCGACCATTTGTCGCCCTCTTTTCACGCCACTGGCGTCCATCAGTCGTACATGATGTTAGATGTTGGAAAAGAAACATAATGCCAAAGTGAATTACTCTCTGTTTTAAAATTCCTTTTAGTAAATTTCAACATGCATAAGTACCTTTCCCTGCAATCTGATTGGTCACAATTCCAACGCCATGCCCGGAGTATGAATTTTAGCACTGCTTAACGCATAATTGATAAAGAAAAAATATTACACTTGACAAAAAAGAACTGAATATAAATCTACTAACTTTGTCTTTATTGTGAAAATTTAAATAACAAATGAAATTTTATTTAAGATAAACCCATATATATAACGTAAGACACATTACCTGGTCACGTGATGGGTGCAATGAAAGTGCAAGTAAATCCATCTCAGTACAACACCTAGCCACACCAGGGTTGCAGCAATACGATACATAAACAATTTCAGTACATCACCTAGCCACACCAGGGTTGCAACAATATGATAAATAAACAATTTCTGTACAACGAGGGCTCTTACTTAAATAGTTGGTTTTACTAACTTGAAAATTCATATAAATACATTGTATAAACGTCATTCTTGATTAATCAATCAAAATATGAAATGAAATGGGGTTTAACGTCCTACTATTTTGCTCCTATACTGGGCTAATGAAGACGGGCATACGCCATACAGTGTGCTATGAGGGAAATTTTTGCCCGGGCAGCGGCACTATCACCTACTCTTATATCGAATTCCAACTGCCAGGGGATCTTTTATGTGCATTCCAATATATACACGGGACCTCGGTTTTTCACCCCATCCGATATTTACGGTAGAAATAATACAAAGTGTTTTGTAGAAGACGAACTACCGCATGTATATATATAAACAAATGGTTCATCTAAAACCGATTGTTATCAGTCGGCTGCTGCCGTGGGTGAACTTTGAACAGCAAGAATTAACATAATACAAGATCCATCTCAGTACAATCACTTGCCTGATCGTGGCGCATCATCTTTATCATTTAGTACAAGAGTAAAGTATTTCTCGGGTATCATGTCTTTCATGACGACATAATCTTGTAGAGGTTGTGGTAAACCAACTTGAGTTATTTTACTGCTGATTCCTGGTCCGATACAGTTTCTGATTTTTCTTCTACACCTTGACTTCAAACTTCTCGATTTACAGAAAGCACGAAATTCAACGCGTTGTTTTTTCCGCGTACCCTTTGATCCGCTCAGCACCACATCATATGTTGAACGAGACAAAATAACGTTCTTTGGTGCGCCACTTTCAAAGAGAATTTTGAAAAGCATCAACGTATCTGGAAACCGCAATTTATCTTTGACCATTCGAAGATCCAAGCTTCGAAGCGAACAGTTCTCTGTAACAAGATACCATATAAGATCCACTTCGTTTTGTTTCAGTAACCATTGGAATAACGTGTTTCCATCTTCTCCTGGAGTATCTAGAGATACGTGACATTTATTGATCAAAAGTAATTTTAGACAGTTGATCCATTTCCGACCCCTACGACCACCAACCATTATAGCATGTATAGCTGATCGTCCATCTGTATCAGTTTTATTAACATCCGCTCCAGTGTTAAGTAAACATTCTAATATAGGTCTAATACAGTTGCTTGCTGCTATCATCAAAGCCGTCTTTCCAGTGTTATCACTCAAATTGACATCAGCTTCAGCGTTTAGTAAACATTCTAAAATAGATAGATTACATGTTCTTACTGCTGCCAATAATGGTGATTGTCGTCTCTTAACACAGTGGTTTACATCGGCGCCAGCCTTCAGTAGAACATCTACCATAACATTATCCTGATTTTTAACTGCCATCAGCAATGGAGTTTCCCCTCTCTTATCACAATGGTTTACATCGGCACCCGCCTTCAATAATTGGTCAGTGACAGATGTGTCTCCATTAGCTACTGCTATGGACAAAGCCGTTTGTCCATTGACGTCACTAATATTCACGTTTATTCCATTCTGTATTAGTAACGTATTTATTATTTTCTCCTTGTCTTCATAATTAGCAGAATATCTTGACACTTTTATAGCTTTGTGCAACGCTGTTTCTCCTTTTAGATTTTGGTGATTTATATCACAATCTGTTGATGTCAGCAATGTCACTAGTTCTAATTTACCTTTTGCGGAAACAAGAGCAAGGGGTTTATCTCCATTTTCATCTACCGTATTGACATCGATGCCATGTTCGAGAAGTAATGAAGCCGTCTTATAATGGCCACCACTGATTGCTCTATACAACAGATTATTACATTTATGAATATCAGCCCCAGCCTCTATCATCATCTTAACAATATCTGCTGAAGTAGGTTGGTCGATCGTATATTGGTGAGAACGAAATAAATAATCCAATACAAAACATCCTTTGTTATCTTTAGCGTTGACAGATGCACCGTGGTCAATAAGTTGTTTAACTAAAACAAGATTATTCATCTCCACGCATTTCATTAAAGGTGTAACGCCGTTTTTATCAGTGGTGTTAACATCACATCCAGCTTTGATTAGCATTTCAGCGATAGTCGTCATCCGTCTTATTATAGACTCCAGTAAAGGTGTAACACCGTCTTTGTCAGTGCTGTTAACATCACACCCAGCTTTAATCAGTATTTGAGCCATAGTCGCATCTTGTATTGTTACTGACATCGTTGTAACATCGTTTTCATAAGTGATGTTAACATCACATCCAGCTTTAATCAGTATTTTAGCAATAGTCGTCTGTTTTCTTCCAATTGACTCCAGTAAGACGGGTGTAATATTCACATCACAATGTGATTTAATTAATGTCTTCGCCATCTCTTCATTTCCATAACTAACCGCTAAATACAGTGGAGTTTTATTCAATGAGTTCCGTTTGTTAATGTCTATACCATGGGTTATTAATAGTTGAACAAGTTCATCGTATGAATCTTCCCATATCCTACTCCCTGCAAGACAATGAAGAAGATTGTTTTGGTATTTGTCATGATCAAGGTAATTTGCTCCTCTTTGTACCAAATATATTGCCGTAGTCACCATACCACATTCCACGGCTAATTGGATGGGCGTTCTGCCGTGACTATCCCGTAGATTAACATCCGCTCCTGACTCCACCAATAACTGTACACAAAGAGGGACATTCCTCAGATTCCTGTTATGACTATAACGATCTCCCACATGCTTCCTTCCACCTACACAATAGTGAAGGGCAGAATATTGAAGATCATGTGTCTGTTGATTAATAGTATTTATTAGTTCACTCTTTAACAGTATGTCCAAACTTTTAATATTTAGTTGATGACAACATAACATTAATAATGTTTCCTCTTTATCTGGGTTTTTATCTAGATCTTTGAGTTCAAGAAGATATTTTAACACCTCGACCTTATTGCTTCTGACGCAATGAACGAGAGCATTCCAGTTACTACGCAAATTTTCAGATGTAAAATCCAAAGGTATTCCTTTAGAGTGGAGAAATTTAACACCCTCCAAGAAATCAGCGTGTACTGCTGTGTCCATCAATCCTAAACTGGTCGCATCATCCACAAAGTTGTTAGCAATACTCCCTGCTGGCAGCAACAATTTAACCAAAGATAGACATCTGTTTATAAGAGCAACTACAAAGTTGCTAGCAATACACTCTGGGGACATCAACGATTTCACCATAGGTAGACATCTGTTCTTAAGAGCATCTTTACAGAGTCTTAGCCACATCGGGTGTAGTTTAAAGTCGTCCCATAATGCCACATTAGCCTGTATAATTTGTTCTACAGCAACTGTATCATTCTTATTTACAGCCTCTTTTAACCTGAAATAGAAAAATACAACCAATGTTAAAGATGGGTTGCCATGAAGATACGGAATTTTAATGTTTTATAAACACACTTCACCTCAATACTATAATTAGTTACTGTTGTCACCAGGTGTATTGTGTAGCTGAATTAGGGGTCCTATAAACCGGGACTTCCCAGCGTAACATTTCCTTCCAGAAATAGATGTGTAGATATATTGGTTTTATGCAATTTGAAACATTATCTACATAATCTTAGTCTGAATTAGATTGACAATAGCATGTCATACACAGTACCAATATATATGTCACGTGATAGGATACTCTCATGTTAATATCTTTTTCAGAGATCTGATGTTAATATCAAATGGAATATTCCGCCATAGCAAGCAATAATCGAGATTATATTCATGTTATAAACATTTCTTTCTGTTTCAGAGATCACATGATTATTATTTAATGTGTTGTTTCATTTGATGTATGTTAGATGTATGATTTGTCATTTGATGTATGTTCGGTGGTTAAAGCAGAATATATTATACACCCTCTGTTTCAGATTATTTAATATCTGATCACTTCCCAGTGTGCTTTAATCTTCATAATAAACCACCTAACCCTGTCAGAAGAACATTTACACATAGAAACTTTAAATCTCTTGACATAAATAAGCTCAAATCTGAACTTAACAATCTAGTATAGATATAGCATCCATTGAAAACATCCACAATAAAGCGGTCACTTACAATATCAAGTTAGCTGAAGCTATCCAATCAGTAGCTCCTTTAAAAACAAAAACTGTAACGGAATAGAGCAGAACATGTCTGACGAAAAACTAATTTAGAAATACACAAACAAATATATAAATATTTAAAAAACCGAATAAATAAGCAGAAGGATTTATACAAAATTGTAAATATCTTACTAGGTCATAATTTGCAGAAAACTATTATTCCGAGCATTGATAAGTCGTCTGATTTAGCTAGCTGTTTCTCTGACTATTTTACATCTAAAATACAAGTTATAAGAGAGGGGCTTGATGCTATAAATATAACCTTTGATTACAACCCACATATAATCGATAACTCTAATGTTTCTTCTACTTTAATTAAGTTTCATCTTGTATCTGAGGATACGGTTAGAAGAGTAATTAAATCGTCACCTTCCAAATCATGTACTTTAGATCCTCTACCTACTTCTATTCTCAAAGAATGCTTAGATGAAATTATTCATGTTATTGTTGATATTATCAATTCTAGTATTAATTCCTGTGTGTTATTCCTGATGTTTTTAAGTTAGCATATGTCATTCCACTGATTAAAAAGCCGAATCCTGACCCCAATATCTTTACAAATTATAGACCAGTTTCGAACCTTAGTTTCATTTCAAAATTACTTGAAAAATTAATTGCAATCCAACTAAAGAGTCATATAGAAGACAACTGCTTAGGTGAGCCATTTCAGAGTGCATATAAGCAGTTCCATAGTATTGAAACTGCCCTAACTAGGGTATCCAATGATATACTTCTTGAATTAGATGATAAGAAATGTTTGTTTTTGCTTTTATTGGATCTATCTGCAGCATTTGACACTGTTGACCATTCTATTCTTCTTCATAGATTACGTTTTAGATTTGGTATACAGAGTGATGCATTGAAACTGTTAAAAAAAATTTTACTGGGTATGACACAATCTGTTTTATTAGATGGCAAACTATCAAAAGAAACTGTTTTATCTTTTGGTGTTCCACAAGGATCAGTTTTAGGCCCGATACTTTTTATATTATAATATTAGCAATATTGTTGATAAATATAACCTTAAATTTCACTTATATGCTGATGATACTCAACTATATACTTCTTTTAACCCCAAATATCCATCTTCTTTTAACCTATCTAAACAACAACTTGAAGATTGTATTAGTGAATTAAGACTATGATGTCTAAGAATTTTCTTAAATTAAATGACGATAAAACAGAATTTCTTCTTTTGGGATCGAAATATCAATTTTAACATGTGAAACTGAAGACAAGGTAAATTCGTTAAATAATTCAGCGGTAAACTGGCCACAGTGAATCTTGTTTGATATAACACATATAGTCTCGTATAACACCTGGTACCAGACATAACAAATGGTCTCGTATAACCAGACACACAGGATTTCAATTGTCTAACATTCTAGTCATAGTTATTTGATTTCTAAGAATCACTATTCTTAGAATATAAAGTGAAAGTAAAAGTACAATATGGATTGGCGTAATACTACTAAATATTCACTCTGCAGTCGTCAATGCTAAATCCATTTTATATGGTGGGTTCTTACATGAAACTATTAGCTGATCAAAATGATGGTTGACTGATGTTTTGTTGTTTATATGTCAAGCTAAATAGATCGTATTACTTCGAATGCAGAGATTGATGCTGTCAAAATGTCTTTCTTTTCCAAATGCCATCAAAGAAACAGAGCAATAATTGTAATATTATAATTAACATTTTTTTGAGAAACTATTTCGACCTTTCAAGATATAGTCTAACATTATAGTCTACTTTGATATATCTCAAGCTACAAATAAAACTAGTACAGTCTACAGGTCACAATTTCTATCCGATTTCAATGAAACTTGAAATATAGGTTTATCACCCTAAGATCTCGGTTCCTTTCGATATTAGCATATATTGGACTATAACTTCATGGATTATGGCCCCTGATTGTACGAAAAATCACGTTTTTGGCTTGTAAACACTGTAGAGGTCACAATTTTTATCCGATTTTGTTGAAACTTGAAATGTAAGTTTATAACACACAGATCTCGGTTCCTTTCGATATTCGCGCATATCGGACCGTAACTTCATGAATTATTGTCCCTTATTGTATGACAAATCGCGTTTTTAGCTTGTGAACCGTATAGAGGTCATAATTTGTATCCGATTTAAAAAACCGTTTTATTATATCACCATTAAACCCTAAGGACGGTTGAGTTCGAATTTCGTGAAAATCGGCCCAAAACTGACACACAAAATGGCTGCCGTTCGTTCTCAAATAGCGTAAAAATATGGTATATCAAGGTTGTGGACCCTATAGAGGTCACAATTTTTATCCGATTTTGTTGAAACGTGAACTGTGAGTTTATAACCCAAAGATCTCGGTTCCTTTCAATATTCGCGCATATCGGACCGTAACTTCCTGAATTATGGCCCCTGATTGTCCGAAAAATCACGTTTTTAGCTTGTGGACCCTATAGAGGTCATAATTTTTATCCGATTTAAAAAATCATATTCTGATATCACCGTTACACCCAAAGGACGGCTGAGTTCGAATTTCGTGAAAATCGGACAAAAACTGGCAGATAAAATGGCCGCCCTTCGTTCTCAAATAGCGTAAAAATATGGTATATCAAGGTTGTGAACCCTATAGAGGTTACAATTTTTATCCGATTTCGTTGAAAATTGAAATGTAAGTTTATAACCCAAAGGTCTTGGTTCATTTCGATATTCGCGCATATCGGACCGTAACTTACTGAATTATGGCCCCTGATTTTACGAAAAATCGCGTTTTTAGCTTGTGGACCCTATAGAGCTCATAATTTTTATCCGATTTGAAAAAACGTATTATTATATCACCATTATACCCTAAGGACGACTGAGTTCGAATTTCGTGAAAATCGGCCCCAAACTGACAGACAAAATGGCCTCCCGTCGTTCTCAAATTGCGTAAAAATATGGTATATCAAGGTTGTGGACCCTATAGAGGTCACAATTTTTATCCGATTTTGTTGAAACTTAAAATGTAAGTTTATAACTCAAAGATCTTGGTTCCTTTCGATATTTGCGCATATCGAATTGTAATTTCCTGAATTATGGCCCTTGATTGTAGGAAAAATCACTTTCTTATTAGCTTGTTCTCTATCCATCTCTCGAAAATGTGGGCGTATCCTACCTGGCAGCCGCTGGTTAATATTAAGATTAAATTTAAAGCTATTGTCACACGAAGAATACAATGTTTTATAGTAATCATGAATTTCACTTAATATATCATTACATTGGCTAACTTCCTCGCCATTAGACCGGGTTATTCTATTCAAAGTTGTATTTTGTTTCCTGAACTTTTCTAAATTTAAGAAAAATTTTGAGCTCTTTTCACCCTGTTCGTACCATTGAATTTTAGATCTCAATATGGCCCCCTTTGCTTCATCTTCGTAAATTTGATCTAGTCTGTTTAACAAAAATTGATATTCTTTTTCAACAGTTTCTATTTCATTATTACCGGTAGCAATCAATTTTAATTTTTCATCCTCTAGCCTTTCTAACTTATCTAATAGGTACTTTTTAAACCCAATTTTAATGTGGTTTTTTTTTTGCAATACTTAATAGTACTATTTTAAATTTTTATAATCACAAAGACCCCCACTGTCCAGTGGATTATGGAACTCATGAGCCCACGTTGCTATAGATTGTTCAATATATTTATAAAAAATTCTTATCTAAAACCAGACTATTATTGAAGATCCATAAGCCCGGGCCTCGTTTAGTTTCAAAAAAGTTCAGACCTATGTAAATAGCCGAATGGTCGCTTATTGTTTAACATACTGTACAGTTTCTGTTATAAGCCAGAAGTCAATCCTGCTTTGAATTAAGGGTTTTCGTTGCTTCCAGGTATATTTCTTTACATTATTATGTTTAATTCGGAAAATAACTATAAGGTTAAATTTTTGAATGATATTATTTATTGCCTGTCTGCCGTTTTTCTTAACTTTATAATTACCCCCTGTACGATCCATATTTACATCCATTACGTTATTAAAATCTCCCCCCCCACGACAAATGGGATAGAATTTGATTAGTTACCATTGTCAATATGTAGCACACATCGGGCCTCTGAAAATAGGAAATGATACAGCAGGTATACGAATTCTTTAAAGTTTGAAAAATCATCTACATATAACGATTTTATTTGAATAACTACGATAAAATTATATATGTCACGTGATAATATCAAATGGAATGTATCGCCATAGCAAGCTTGTTGACTGTTTCAGTAATAGAGTTTATATTTATATCAAATGGAATGTATCGCCATAGCAAGCTTGTTGACTGTTTCAGTAATAGAGTTTATATTTATATCAAATGGAATGTATCGCCATAGCAAGCTTGTTGGCTGTTTCAGTAATAGAGTTTATATTTATAAATTTAATGTGTCGTGTTATAGTTCAATGGGTATATATAATAGAATATTAGTACGTTTATAACATTATGATCTACTTACTGTTCCTCTAATTTACGCCAACTCATTGTAACATGTGAAATTGAAGCCAAAGTAAATGTTTAAAATAATTCCGTGGTAAATTGATCACAGTGAATCTTTTTCGATACAACTCCTATAGTCTCGTACAACACCTGGTAACCTGGTAACAGACATAACAAAATAGTCTCGTATAACCAGACACACATGAATTCAATTGTTTGGTTGAACATGTTAACATTCTAGTCATAGTTATTTGATTTCTAAGAATCACAACGATCTTAGAATGTAAAGTGAAAGTCAAAGTACAATATGGATTGGCGTAATACTACTAAATATTCACTCTGCAGTCGTCAATGCTAAATCCATTTGATATGGTGGGTTCTTACATGAAACTATTAGCTGATCAAAATGATGGTTGACTGATGTTTTGTTTTGTTTATATATCAAGCTAAATTGATCGTATTACTTCGAATGCAGAGATTGATGCTGTCAAAATGTCTTTCTTTTCCAAATGCCATCAAAGAAACAGAGTAATAATTGTAATATTATAATTAACATTTTTTTGAGAAACTATTTCGACCTTTCAAGATATAGTCTAACATTATAGTCTACTTTGATATATCTCAAGCTACAAATAAAACTAGTACAACCATGAAACTATTCAATTGTTTTTCGGACAACAAGTTTCATTATGTATAACAATCGGGGAGATTTCGATTTGACAGTTTTTGCGTATTTTTGAAACAGGTTTCGAAGTGTTTTGTTCCTGTTATGCAAGATCTTTTTAGACGTTCCAAAGTAAATGTACGGTGCTAAGACCACCTAAAGATAAGTATTAATTAGAACAGGTTTAACTTTAGTTTTTATATTTTACGCTTTAAATCTTCCTAGTGCAAAAATGGAGAATTTGACCTTTTGACATCCCGGGTCACAAAGAACAAAGGGAAATTTAGCACGTTTACATTTTTATCGAAAGAGTGATCACTTTCGATTATTTTCAGCATGTTTTCATGATACAAGATGGTCCAAAACGCGGTTACGTATTCCATGCACAGAGCCCCAAAATAGTTTCCCCTATCATTTTGACTCAAATCAGCCAATTTGACGAGACGCGATAATAGAATTTTCCCTGAAAATTCGAAACTAGCTGCCTGCTGTACCAGACACTTTCCGGGATAATTTAGGACATTTCTCAAAGATGGCGACAAAACAGAAGTTATCTACTTGCACCAACACGGAAGATATGTACTCGCATATAAAAACAAAAGCTTGAAATGTGTCTTGAATCAATTATTATCCGTCTCTTGCAGTTTATTTTTAATCGAGCTAAGATTGAATTTCGGTCTTCGGCTAACTCGGATCTTCGCTTCGTTCGGATAAAATTGTCATTCCACTTAGATCCGACTTATGCGAAGTTTACTGCATATTGAAAACTATTTGTTAACATAATGACACGTCATTAATCATTTGATTTACGAGCAGGTTTTATTCTTTAGACATATTCAAATTGTGCACAATGAAACGTTCTAAAGCAATATGGCGATCTATGCACCTGTACACACATAAATGAATAAAGCATTAACACTTGTATAGTCATAACATTGTTTATTCCTTTAGTCACCTCAAGCAAATTATCATTTATAAAAGTTTCAATATGTTGCTCAAATATATGACCTGATTACGACAATACATGGCCCGTGTAATTCTGTACAGTAGAGAAATATAATTGTCGGTGTTTTTAGAGAGTGAATGTGGTTAATAGTAGAATGGTGATATATCTAAACGGTTTTTAAAATCTGAAAAAAATTGTGACCTCAAGATAATCCACAAACTAAAAATGCGATTTTTCGACCAATAAGGGGCCAAAATCCAGGAGGTTATTTTCGGATATGTGTGATTATCAAAAAAAAAACAAGATCTTTATGATAAAAACATTTATTTAAAGTTTCATCCAAATCGGATTAAATCTGTGGCCTCTAGAAGGTCCACAACCTTGAAATACCATATTTGTACACTATTTTCGTACAAGGGTCGGCCATTATGTCCGTCAGTATTTGTCCCATGTTCACGAAATTCGAATACATCCATCGTTAGTGTATAGCTGTGATATATATATATTTTTTTAAATCGGATAAAAATTGACCTCTATAGGGACCACAGGCTCAAAACGCGATTTTTCGTACAATCAAGGGCGCGAATGTTAACAGGAACCAAGATCTTTGGGTCATAAACATGCATTTCAAGTTTCATCAAAATTGTATCAAAATTGTGACCTTTAGGAGGTCCACAACCCTGTATCAGATGTTCACACTATCTGCGTACAAGGGGCGGCCATTTTGTCCGACAGATTTGGTCCGATTTTCACGAAATTCGAACTCAACCATCATTAGGGTGCAGCGGCGATCTAGATGGGCCTTTATCTGAGAAGCAATACATACAGTGGTTGGAAGGGGAAGAATAAGGAAGGCAAAATACTTTTGATTTAGTTTTTATAACAAGAGATACTGTAACTATCAAAGAAAATACAAAGTTCTCTAGCCCTAACCACCGTCAAGACATAATTCACAGTGTCATATCTAGGTCTTCGTTAAGGACAGCCGCGCATGCAGTTGGGTCATGGATTCTCAAGTACAAGCTGGTATCATCTGCAAATAATCTAGCATTAGAATTAAGGTTTTCAACAATATCATTTATATAAATAAGGAAGAGGAGGGGTCCGAGGATAGAGCCCTGTGGAATACCAGCAGGGCCAGTCAAAGGAGAAGACGAGGTTCCACTGACAATCACAGATTGACACAAATAAAAACAAATATCACAGTATATTAAATAATTAAAAATAAAAAACACAAATTCATGTACACAAATATTTAAAAATGAAAAACAATATGATATATATATTTACGATGCACATGGATATCCTCTGTTCTTTCAACCGAAACAGGTGAACTAAAATTAGTGACTGGTTAAATAACTTCTGAAGCAGTCAAGTAGACCTCACCTTATCCCCACCGTCCCAAGCTTATGACAGAGTCCTGCGTGCCAGACCCTGTCAAATGCCTTGCTAATATCACAGAACACTGCCCTCGTGTACTGCCTTCATCAATGGCTTGACAAGAGAAGTGTGCAAGATCAATTAATTGGTAAGTCGTTGATTCGCCGTGCAAAAAACCTCTTTGCAGATTAGTTATAACGGAGTGTGCCCGAAAGAAGTTAAAAACATGCTTATATACACATTTTTCAAACATTTTAGCAACTATACTCAGAAGAGAAATAGATCTATAATTGCCACATTCCGCTGGGTCACCTTTTTTCAAAATAGCTATTACATTAGCCGTTTTCCAAATAGAGGTTACTGTTTTAGGAGATAAAGATAAGTTAAATAAATTACATAGTGGTACAGAAATTTCAAAAATTATAGTCTTCAAAAGTTTACCATTAATTTTATCTGGCCCAATAGCTTTAGAAACATCAATAGATAGAAGCATGTCTTTAACCTCCTGAGGTGTTAGCTAGATATTGCACAGTGAAGATGGATTTTGTTTAAGAATTGAAAGATGTGCATTGGCTGTGTCGAGCTGTGATTGTTTGATAAAGAATTTGTAAAGAGTGTTTGCCTTTTCAAGGTCAGAAAACGCCATGACTCCATTGTTGACAATTGGGGGTAAATCGATGTTTGTGGAGTGTTCACCCTTTACATATGAATTGACAAGATGCCACCAATCTTTACTGCCAAAGTTTTTGGGATCGTTGATTTTATCGTCCAATTTTTGAAAATATTCTTTCTTACATTTCCTAATTAAGTCGATATATACGTTTCTAATTTGTCTGAAGTTTTGCCAATCATGGTCGGAATTTGATTTTACAGCACGCTTGTGAATTTTGTTTTTCTTTCTTGCAAGTTTTCTAATACTATTATTCATCCAAAATTTATCACGTGGTCTAATATTTACTACTTTATTTGGAATATTTTTCTTTGCAATCTTTGTCAATTCACATGTAAAAGCAGCACAGGAAAGCTCCACAGAATCATCAACAATGGACTCCCAGTCATATGTCAAAACGTCATGTCTCAGACCGTCATAGTCAGTCTTATTAAGTTCTACTGTACTGTAGATCCTAGACTGGATAACCTGATCTAATATGTTAGATCTGCTCACTGGATAACCTGATCTAATATGTTAGATCTGCTCAAAGTTACGGTCATAAAGTCTTCAGTCAGAAGAATCAAAATAATAATTGTTCATAAAAAATGTCATCACTGCTATCATCGTAATCTGGTTCATCATTGCTGCTATCGTAATTATATCCACAATAAAAGAGTAAAGTATTGGAAGCCTTCGATGCAAACATTAGCCGCGTCGTCATCTTGATGGTTTATTTAAGTCTTTATTTAATAATCAATAAAAACGACAAAGTACATAGTTCACATTACATTCACAGTGTGTAACATCATTTATCACCCAATAGTAGATATTGCTTGTGTGATAAATTACATAATCTACTGAATATCCCTTAAAATGAATCTGATTGGTCAATTAAAAAGGAACTACTTTTTTATTTAAAAGGAACTACATTTTTTATTTAAAAGGAACTACTTTTATGTAATATATATTTCAACATGGAGACCATCAATGTTTTTCACTCTGGTGATAATGTTTCAATTGACCTTTCTGGACAAGGAACTGTTTTAAATAGTGTTGGTGTACGTAATTACACTGTTGAAATAGATGGTTCTGGCTATATAGCTTCAATTGATGTAGACAGACTCCAGTTGCTCAAATCCAAAAACACATGTATTTCAAATGTAGAAGAGCAGACAACAACTTCAAATGTCACATCTTTAAACTAGATTGTGCCTCCAACTGGCTCTGAAAACAAAAGATTTATTAAAATTGATGAGAATTATATTGACAAATTATTAACTAAGCAAGAAAATCCAAATACTGCAAGAAAAACATTATTCGACACAAACCTACTACATGAGTCTATTTCGAAAAACAATGATCCTCAGCGAATCCATGAAATTCCCCCAGATGAATTGAACAACATTTTATGCAAATTTATTGTATCTGCAGGCAAACTTGATTGTGGTGGGTTTGAAAACAATACTTTGTGTGGCATAGGTTCATCTGTTGAACGCTACCTGCGCAGTCATAACTATGGACACACACTTCGGAAAAGTATAGCCTTTTCTAGGTATAGGGATGTAATGAAGGCTAAGCAAAAAGAATTAAAATCCCTTGGAAAAGGTAACTTTCCTCATAGATCTGATGCTATAACAGATGAAGAGATAGAACCTCTGTGGCAGGCCAAACAGTTAGGATCAACTTCACCACAGTCAATTTTAAATACACTTTGGTTTTACAACACCATACATTTTTGGTCTCAGTGGTTCAGACGAGCACAAACAAATGTTATGAGGTGAGGTTGAACTGAAATTAGATAGTGATGGGTTAACACAATGTTTAGAATTTACTGAAAGGGTTTCGAAAACAAGACAGGGCTATAATTCAAAAAATGTAAGACAAATTACACCAAAAAAGACCGCTGTCCCGTAGAACTATACAAGCTTTATAAGAACTTGAGGCCACACAACTTCTCAAATCCAGAAAGCCCTTTTTATATATCATGTACAACTGTACCTAATCCCGAAGTAGGTTCCCAATGGTTTAAGCGTCCGCCAGTTGGCATACATAAACTTGAAAATTAATGGAATTTCAACAGACAGACAACTTACCAATCACAGTGCAAAAACTAAACGATTCTGATGTTCCTCCATCTCACATCATGCAAATATCCGGCCATAAAAAAATTCGGAGCATCAACAATTATTCCCATATAAATGATAATCAGCACAAGCAAATATCATCAATTCTTTCTGGTTCAGAATGTAACTACCAGCGTCCGCTCCCAACATCAACCGTCGTTTCTTCGTCATCATTATAGTCTTCACAAAGTAACAGTAGTTCAAACAAACGCGAGCATTTGCAGTCTGTTTTGGGGTCCAGTAATATTGTTGGAGGAAAGTTCTCAATTACCATAAACAATTACAATACTCCCTAAAACGCCCAAGAATTATAGACAGTGACACCGATTAGTTTGTTTATCCATCATGGCGGTTGGCTTGACCTTACAAGAACTACCGGGTCAATATATAGGACTTTGCAATGGGTGACCTGCTGTCAATACTAATGTATCACTACGTTGTAATGTAAATAAACTATAAACATATTACGTTGTAATGTAATCAGGTTCCGTAAAATAAAATCTATACCAAAGAATTATATTTATTTATTTGTGCTTGTACGAAAGGGTTGGGTGATAAATAAAATCTCCTAATCGTCTTTTTGGATATCAAAAAATACTCGTAGGAGATTGTCTATATCTTATCATCACATTAAAACAATAATCATACAAAAAATTGATTTATTATTGAAAGCTATAGTATATGTTGATAATTCATTTAGTAGAACAAACATAAAAATAATAAACTAAAACACAATACATAAAGATAAAGATAAAGATAGCTAGAGGCATGAAAGGAATAAAAGAAATACTAGAGGTATGCATAATAATCATATTGTATAATCCCATTTATTTACTAAGGTTTCATTAAACTCATTTTCTATCTGTTGTTTACTTTTCAAGTACTTTTCGATAATTAATAATTTTTAGTCTAATATTTTCTTTTAGTACAGTACAAGAGTAAAGTATTTCTCAGGTATCAAGTCTTTCATGACGACATAATTTTGTAGAGGTTGTGGTAAACCAACTTGTGTTATTTTACTGCTGATTCCTGATCCGATACAATTTCTGATTTCTCTTCTACATCTTGACTTCAAACTTCTCGATTTACAGAAATCACGGAATTCTTCAAACTGCTGTTTATCTTCAGATTCACCCAACACAGGATTATGCGTGGAAAGCGACAAACCAGTATTTAACACCGACATCAAAATCATTTTTTCTATTTCACTCTTCGGTGCACCACTTTCAAACAAAATTTTAGAAAGCATCAACATATCCGGAAATTGAAATTTATCTTTGACCTTTGAAAGATCCAAACCTTTGAGAGAACAATTTTCCTTTATGAGATACCATATAAGATCTTGTTCGTTTTTTTCCAGTAACCATTTGAATAAAGTGTTTCCATCTTCTCCTGGAGTATCAAGAGACGACGGGTGACATTTATTAATTAAAAGTAATTTTAGACAGTTGATCCATTTCCGACCCCTACCATCAGCTCCAGCATCTAGTAAACTTTCTAAAATAGGTCTATTACAGTTTCTTGCTGCTGCCATTACAGCCGTCGTTCCATTATCATCACTCAAATTAACATCAGCTCCAGCCTTTAGTAAATCATTTACAATACCCTGGTTATTATCTTTGACGGCAATCAACAATGTTGTATTTCCGTTGTCATCACTCAGATTAACATCAGCTGCAGATTTCAGTAAATCATTTACAATCTTCCTGTTATTAAACCCGACTGCAATCATTAATGCCGTATTTCCATCATTATCAGCATGGTTTACAGATGCACCAGATTTCAGCAAATTTTCACAATGCATCCCTTTTTGGTTTTCAAATTCTAATATCAATGCTGTTTTGCCATTGTTATCACTCAGGTTAACATCGGTGCCAGCCTTCAATAAACCCTTTACCATATTCGTGTTATTCATTTTGACGGCAATCAGCAAGGCTGTGTTTCCACTGTTATCAACTTGGTTTACAGATGCACCAGATTTCATCCATGCTTCACAATGACCATATCTTTGTTTCTCCACTGCCACCATCAACGCTGTTTTGCCATTGACATCACAAATATTACAGTCTGCACCATTCTGTAACTGAAGTGATAAAATAGTTTCATCCTGGTTGTCTACAGCAAACATCAACGCCGTCTTACCACGATGATCTTGTAGGTTGATATTACAGCCAGCTCTGAGTAGTGTTTCTACCATAGGTTTAGGTCCTCTTTCTGCTGCCGCCATTAAAGGTGTTTTGCCTTCGTCATCTGTAGCGTCATCTGCTTCACTTCTCAAATCTGAATATTTGAGTAAAACATCTAAATCCAGTGAAACTTTCAAGAGTATTGCAAGGAATATCGCATTTCTACCCAATACATCTTTTGGTTTCAGATCGGCACCAGCTTTTAGTAAAACATTTGCTATAATATTATCCTTGTTGGTAACCCCGTCCGCTTTTGGACGTTCTAGAGTTTGGCAGTGTGAAGTTGATGGTCACGAGACATGTAGCCTTCTTAAAGAATTCAATTCAATATCACATAGGACGACACAGTTGTTGGTGGACGTACAGGTCGATTACTGGTAACCTATATGTTCACGAATTCAAAAAGAAAAGACGCATCGATCATTTTTCTATGTATTGTCCGTGTCAGCTTTAAAACTAATTTTATTTTGTTATTTCAGGTTAACAAAGGCTGTCAATACAAATGATGCAGCTGCTGTAGAAAGACTTATACATGACTGTGTGGCGTTATATGACAGTTGTGTACAACACTGGATTTGGGTAGAACAATGTAAAGCTGCTCTTAAGAACAGATGTCTACCTATGGTGGAATTATTGCTTCCCCCAGAGAGTATTGCAAACAATTTTGTAGATGTTAAGACCAATATACAATTGATGAAGGCTGCAATAAAATCTAATTTCATAGAGGGTGTTAAATTTCTCCACTCTAAAGGAATACCTTTGCGTTTTGCCCTCACTGAGTGCGTTCTAAACAATAACGCCGAGATATTAAAACATCTTCTTGAACTCAAAAATATAGATATAAACCCCAACGAAAAGGAAACGTTATTAATGTTATGTTGCCATAAACTAAACATCGAAATTTTGGAGATTTTGTTGAAGAGTGAACTGATAAATACTATTAACCAACAGTCGGTTATAGATAAATATTCTGTCCTACACTGTTGTGACGTCACTAATATTCACGTTTATTCCATTCTGTATTAGTAACGTATTTATTATTTTCTCCTTGTCTTCATAATTAGCAGAATATCTTGACACTTGTATAGCTTTGTGCAACGCTGTCTCTCCTTTTAGATTTTGGTGATTTATATCACAATCTGTTGATGTCAGCAATGTCACTAGTTCTAATTTAACTTTTTCAGAGGAAAGAGCGAGGGGATTATCGCCATTTTGGTCCACCATATTGACATCGATGCCGTGTTCAATAAGAATTGGAGCCGTGTCATAATATCCTCGATTCATTGCTCTATACAACAGATTATTACATTTATGAATATCAGCCCCAGCCTCTATCATCATCTTAACAATATCTGCTGAAGTAGATTGGTCGTTCGGATAGTGGTAAGAACGAAATAAATAGTCCAATACAAAACATCCTTTGTTATCTTTAACGTTGACAGATGCACCGCGGTCAATAAGTTGTTTAACTAAAACAAGATTATCCATCTCCACGCATTCCATTAAAGGTGTAACGCCGTATTTATCAGTGGTGTTAACATCACACACAGCTTTAATCAGTATATCAGTGATAGTCGTCATCCGTCTTCTTATAGACCGCAGTAAAGGTGTAGCACCGTCTTTGTCAGTGCTGTTAACATCACACCCAGCTTTAATCAGTATTTCAGCGATAGTCGTCTGTTCTCCTCTTACTGACTCCAGTAAAGGTGTTACACCATTTTTATCAGCGATGTTAACATCACATCCAGCAGCATTAATCAGTATTTCTGCGATAGTCGTCTCCCGTCTTCTTATAGACTCCAGTAAGACGGGTGTAATATTGACATCACAATGTGATTTAATTAACGACTTCACCATCTGTTCATTGCTGTATATAGTTGCTAAATACAGTGGAGTTTCATTCCATGAGTTCAGCTGGTTTATGTCCATACCATGGGTTATTAATAGCTGGACACATTCATCATATGAATCTACCCATATCCTACTCCCTGCAAGACAATGAAGAAGGGAACCTTGATGGGTTCTAATATCAAGGTTTGCTCCTCTTTGTGCCAAATATATTACCGTTGTCACCATACCACATTCAGCAGCCAGTTGGATGGGCGTTTTCCCATCCATATCTTGTAGATTAACATCCGCTCCTGCCTACACCAATAATTTTCCACAATCATTAATTCCCCCCGTATTGCTTTCACTAAAAATCCTTTCCATCAAATTGTTCCTATCACCTATACAACTGCCATCATCAATGGGGTTTCCCGTCTCTTATCACAGCGGTTTACATCAGCACCAGCCTTCAATAATTCTTCAGTAATAGATCTTTCTCCATTACCTACTGCCATGGACAAGGCCGTTTGTCCATTGCCGTGTGTCCGTGGACATCACTAATATTCACGTTTATTCCATTCTGTATCAGCAACGTATTTATTATTTTTTCCATGTTTTCATCAGCATCTCTCGACGCTTGTATAGCTTTGTGCAACGCTGTTTCGCCTTTTAGATTCTGGTGATTTATAACACAATCTTTTGATGTCAGCAAAGACACAATTCTAATTTACCTTTCCTGGAAGCAAGAGCAAGGGGGGTATCTCCAACTTCATCTACCGTATTGATATCGATGCCCATTTCGATAAGCAATGAAGCTGTTTCATAATCTTCACAATCAATTGCTCTACACAACAGATTATTACATTTATGAATATCAGCCCCAGTCTCCATCAACATCTTAATAATATCTGCTGAAGTAGATTGATCGTTCGTATGGTGGTAAGCAGGAAATAAATAGTCCAATACAAAACATCCTTTGTTATCTTTAGCGTTGACAGATGCACCGTGGTCAATAAGTTCTTTAACTAAAACAAGATTACCCATCTCCACGTATTTCATTAAAGGTGTAACGCCGTTTTTATCAGCGATGTTAACATCACACCCAGCTTTTATCAGTATTTCAGCAGTAGTCGTCTGTTGTCCTCTTTGTGACTCCATTAAAGGTGTAATCAGTGTTTTTATCAGCGTTGTTAACATCACATCCAGCTTTAATCAGTGTTTCAGCCATAGTCGCATCTTGTTTTCTTACTGACACCAGTAAGGCGGGTGTCAAGTCTTTACCTGCTTTAATATTGACATCACCATCTAATCATTTCTTTGACATACTGCTAAATACAGTGGAGTTTCATTCCATGAGTTCAGTTCGTTTATGTCCATTCCGCCCCTGCCTCCACCAATAATTTTACACAATCAAGAACTTCCTTATTCCACCAGCCACGGACACAAATGTGTAGAGCAGAATATTGATCATCACCCGTCTGTTGATTAATAGTATTTTTTAGTACACTGTTCAACAAAATCTTCAAACTTTCAGTATTTAGTTGATGGCAACATAACATTATTAACGTTTCCTTTTTGTCTGGGTTTTTATCTAGATCTTTCAGTTGAAGCAGATATTTGAGCAGCTCGACCTTACTGTTTTGGACACATTCAATATCGGAACGTAACTTCCTGAATTATGGCCCCTGACTGTACGAAAAATCGCGTTTTTAGCTTGTGGACCCTATAGAGGTCATAAATTTTATCCGATTTAAAAAAAACGTATTATTATATCACCGTTACACCCTAAGGACGGCTGAGTTCGATTCTCGTGAAAATCGGCCCAAAACTGACAGACAAAATGACCGCCCTTCGTTTTCAAATAGCGTAAAAATATGGTATATCAAGGTTGTGGACCCTATAGACGTCACAATTTTAATCCTATTTTGATCAAACTTGCAATGTAAGTTTATAACCCAAAGATCTCGGTTCCTTTCGATATTCGCACATATCGGAACGTAACTTCCTGAATTATGCCCCCTGATTGTTCGAAAAATCACGTTTTTAGCTTGTGGACCCTATACAGGTCGTAATTTTTATCCGATTTAAAAAAACGTATTATTATATCACCGTTACACCCTAAGGACGACTGAGTTCGAATTTCGTGAAAATCGGCCCAAAACTGACAGGCAAAATGGTCGCCCTTCGTTCTCAAATAGCGTAAAAATATGGTATTTCAAGGTTGTGGACCCTAAAGAGGTCACAATTTTTTTATCCGATTTTGTTGAAACTTGAAATATAAGTTTATAACCCAAAGATCTCGGTTCCTTTCGATGTTCGTGCAAACGGACCGTAACTTCCTGAATTATGGCCTCTGATTGTACGAAAAATCACTTTCTTTTTAGCTTGTTCTCTATCCATCTCTCGAAAATGTGGGCGTATCCTGCCTGGCAGCCGCTGGTTAAATATTTGTGTACATGAAGTTGTGATTTTTATTTTTAATTATTTAATATTTTATTTGTGTACATGAATACTTTATGTGATATCTTTTAATTTTTCTCATACCCTTCACCGTATGTTTGGCGCCATAAAACCCGCTTGGAGCTGACGTGCCATGAAACCCTGTTTCATTCATTCATTCCATGTGTATCTACCGTATTGACTTCGATGCCGTGTTTAATCAGTAAAAAACGGCGTTTTATAATAACCATACAGATTATCACATTTGTAACTATCAGTCCCATCCTCTCCATCATCTTAAAAGATATATATTCTGGATAAGAAAGGCTGTATTGACTTCTGTTTGAGTGTTTTCTCTTATGGACTTCACTTATTGCGGGGTATCGAGATGAAAATGATATCGTGTTTAAATATGGCGGGGTATCGGGATGAAAATGATATGGTGTTTAAATATGGCGGCGTATCGGGATGAAACTGATATGGTGTTTAAATATGGCGGCGTATCTGGATGAAAATGCGATCTAGAGTAAAAAGTAGAAAATCAAAAGTCAAAGTTGAAAAAGGAAAATCCTGATCTAAAAGGTTATTTTTATGGTGAAAATATATGCTTTTTCAAGTTTAAATCGTCAGAATTTTACTTTCATAGACTTGATTTTGATTTTCTACTGTCATCTTTAGTCATTCTACATATTATTCTTCAGCGCAGATTTTTTCCAATAGTAGTCCTTTGGTGACTGATAACGGCCATGTAATTGTCGCCCTTTTCATTACGACAAAGTCGACTTGGCCACGCACAATCTACTTTAAATATGGATCCTACCTTGGGACACATGGATCCATCTGGGGCGTACATTGAGGAAATAAACTCGTTTCTGAGTTGGACACAGGTTACAATTGGTGGACCACGCCTAATGCACCTTATATGCATATCTCAGTAGATACCTCCAGTATAAAAACAAAATGGGTATACTCCGTTCCTTGGGACCCACCAGGGCAACATCAATCCTTCTGAGTAGTCAATTGTAGAGATTAACCCACTTCTGAGTATGTCTACGTCACGAGTAAATGCATATCTCAGTACCTCCCTTCAATAAAGGCACAACATGGGTATCAAACTGTTTCGTGGGACCTCCTGTGGCAATATGGATGCTTCTGGGTCGTCAATTTGTGGGGAACTACAAGCACAAAATGTGAATCAAACTGTTACTTGTGATGATCCCCTGTAACAATAATGACTCCTCCTGGGTAGTCAATTGTTGTGATCAGTCCACAATTGATCAAGTCAATAGACAACATTGTTCGGCCATGACAAATCCACTTTAAAGGTGGGCTTAGATACTGATACCATTCGTCTTTTTATGGCCTCAATGCTTTACAAGACCCACTTATGGCCATAGCCTCTACCGCGTAGCGTTTTGGCAAAGGTGGTCGCTAACTCGGATAAGGAAAGTTGCGGAACGCTGACCATCGATAGGATTCGTCCTCTCGTGACCCTAATGCTTTCCCCCCCGAGTTTGAAATTTATATTTTTAAAACTATACAGCATTCGCAGAGCGCTGAAAATCTATCACCCACGAACTAAATCTGGAGCATCTAACTGTAGCAATGCTACATCAAAAATTTAATGACTGCCTTAGATAAAAAAAAGGGTGTAAACATAGAAAAGGCGCCATAACATAACATACAGGAATCAAAAGACAAGGCTAATATATTTATGTATCTAAAATCAAAATACAAGTATAATTATGTATCTAATACGCGAAATGTAAAAACAATAACTAAGCAAATGTAGAAAAGCAACAATAACCATGTTATGTACAATTTGATACAGTAGTCAGGACTCTTTCAATTGACAGCTAAATTAACCCAGGTACAGGTAATTTATCCTGACAGGATTGAAGAACGAAGGTAGTATTCTATGTGTTTGATCTGACCACCGGATAGTAGAACGAAGGTAGTATTCTATGTGTTTGATTTGACCACCAGATTGTTCTGTAGGTTGTTAGAGTATGGTATATTTTTAAAAACATTGGGGTGTTGGGTCTCATAAATAATGTATCCAGACAGTTCTTACAAGGACGTGCGATTAAAAAAAATATTTTAAACAAATGAGATTGGAAGTATCAAACGATTGTTGAACCGGTAGTTGGGCTGACGTCGACAATAGATAAAACTGGATAACCTGGTCTTTTACGTCAGACTTTCTCCTACGTCATCTCCTCCTGATGTGAATAACACCGTCAAGCAAGAACGGGTCTGATGTCATTTAAAGGACAATATTGGTGTCAGACATTATCACATATGTGATAGAACTTGTGTAACATGTTCCAAATATAATTTTAACATATAGATCATTGCTACGATAGATGCGTAATGACACCAATATTGTCCTTTAAGACAGGTTATCCAGTCTATGTAGATTTCAACGGTCGGCGGTAAATTGGACCAAAGCTGAGTCCAATATGGCCGCCGTAGGGCCTGTCTATTTATTATTATTTATTTTTTTAAGCAATATTTTATTCAAAACTTGAAAGCGATTGTGGAACAGGCATAACCGATATTATGATCTCTCTTGTAACCCTTATAATCCTAACCCTAACCCCAAGTTACAAATAGACTCATAAATATGCGGGGCGATCATGTTGGGCTCGACTTGCGTCCAATTTACCTTCCTGTGACTTCCACCCTACAACTGATCCCAACCAATAGCTTTTATTATCCAGTTCACAGCAGTAGACGCTAACCAATATTACTGATTATCCAGTTCACAACAGTAGACTCTAACCAATAGTTATGATTATCCAATTGACAACAGTAGACTCTAACTAATAGCTATAATTATCCAGTTGATAAAGAAGTATAAAGTAACAATGTAGTCAATAGTTACTGTTATAAAGTCTTTAGTCAGAAAAATCATAATAATAATCTGGTTCATAATAACTTTTAGCACTGCTGCCATAGGAATAATAATAATAATTGTCAGAATAGTAATCTGGTTCATAAAAATAATAACTTTCCCCATTGTATTCATCGTTTAGTACAAGAGTATAGTATTTCTCGGGTATCAAGTCTTTCATGACGACATAATCTTGTAAACGTTTCGGTAAACCAACTTGAGTTATTTTACTGCTGATTCCTGGTCCGATACAGTTTCTGATTTCTCTTCTACATCTTGACTTCAAACTTCTCGATTTACAGGAATCGCGGAAATCATCAAGTTGTTGTTTATCTTCAGATTCACCCAGCATCGGATTATGTGTGGAACGCGACAAATCAGTATTTAAAACCGACAACAAAATCATGGTCTCTACTTCACTCTTCGGTGCACCACTTTCAAACAGAATTTTAGAAAGCATCAACATATCGGGAAATTGAAATTTATCTTTGACCTGTAGAAGATCCAAACCTCTGAGAGAACAATTTTCTGTAAAGAGATACCATATAAGATCTTCTTCCCTTTTTTCCAGCAGTAACCATTCGAATAAAGTTTTTCCATCTTCTCCCGGAGTATCAAGAGACGCGTGACATTTATTGATTAAAAGTAATTTTAGACAGTTGATCCAACTATGATCATAACCACCATCAACCATTATACCATGTATAGCTGATCTCCCCCATGTATCAGTTTTATTAACATCAGCTCCAGCATTTAGTAAACATTCTAAAATAGATCTGTCCCAGTTCCGTGCTGCCGCCATCAAAGCCGTCTTTCCATTATTATCACTCAGATTAACATCAGCTCCAGCATTTAATAAACTTTCTAAAATAGATCTGTCCCAGTTCCGTGCTGCCGCCACCAAAGCTGTCTCTCCATTATTATCACTCAAATTAACATCAGCCCCAGCATTTAGTAAACTTTCTAAAATAGAACTACCACAGTTCCGTGCTGCCGCCATCAAAGCTGTCTCTCCATTATTATCACTCAGATTAACATCAGCCCCAGCTTTCAGTAGTAAATCAGTTACAATCTTCCTGTTATTAAACCTATTACAGTTTCGTGCTGCCATCATCAAAGCCGTCTCTCCATTATCATCACTCAGATTAACATCAGCTCCAGCTTTCAGTAAATCAGTTACAATCTTCCTGTTATTAAACCTATTACAGTCTCGTGCTGCTATCATCAAAGCCGTCTCTCCATTGTCATCACTCAGATTAACATCAGCTCCAGCTTTCAGTAAATCAGTTACAATCTTCCTGTTACTCAGTCGGACTGCAATCAGCAATGCTGTATTTCCATTGTTATCACTCAAATTAACATCAGCCCCAGCTTTCAGTAAATCCTCACAATGACCATCTCTTTTTTTCTGTACTGCCACCATCAACGCTGTTTTGTCATTGTTATCACAAATATTATAGTCTGCACCATTCTGTAATAGAAGTGATAAAATAGTTTCATCCTGGTTGTCTACAGCATACATAAACGCTGTCCGTGTTTCATCCTTGTTGTCTACAGCAAACATCAACGCCGTTTTACCACCATGATCTTGTAGGTTGATATTACAGCCAGCTCTGAGTAGTTTCTCTACTATATCTTTAGGTCCTCTATCTGCTGCCACCATCAAAGATGTTTTACCATCTTTATCTGTGGCATTAACAATACTCTCTGCTTCACCTCTCAAGTTTGAATATTTAAGTAAAATATCTAAAACTAGTGAAGCATTCAAGAGTGTTGCAAGGAATATCGCATTTCCACCTAATTCATCTCTGGGTTTCAGATCGACATCAGCCTTCAGTAGAACATCTACCATAACATTATCCTTATTTTTAACTGCGATCACCAATGGGGTCTCCCGTCTCTTATCACAGTGGTTTACATCAGCACCAGCCTTCAATAGAACATCTACCATAACATTATCCTTATTTTTAACTGCGATCACCAATGGGGTCTCCCGTCTCTTATCACAGTGGTTTACATCAGCACCAGCCTTCAATAATTCTTCAGTAATAGATCTTTCTCTATTACCTACTGCTATGGACAAGGCCGTTTGTCCATCAACGTCACTAAGATTCACGTTCATCCCATTCTGTAGTAACAACATATTTATTATTTTCTCCATGTCTTGATAATTAGCAAAATATCTTGAAACTTGAAGAGCTTTGTGCAACGCTGTTTCGCCTTTTAGATTCTGGTGATTTATATCACAATCTTTTGATATCAGCAATGTTACCAAATGTGTTTCACAATGTTCGGAGGCAAGAGCAAGGGGTTTATCTCCATTTTTATCTACCGTATTGACATCGATGCCGTGTTCCATGAGTAATGAAGCCATTTTATACTCTTTACAATCAATTGCTCTAGACAACAGATTATTACCTTTATGGATATCAGCCCCAGCCTCTATCATTATCTTAACAATATCTGTCGAACGGTGGTGAGAACGAAATAAATAGTCCAATACAAAACATCCGTTGTTATCTTTAGCGTTCACAGATGCACCGCGGTCAATAAGCTGTTTAACTAAAACAAGATTACCCATCTCCACGCATTTCATTAAAGGTGTAACGCCGTATTTATCAGCGATGTTAACATCACATCCAGCATTAATCAGTATTTGAGTAATAGTATCACTGTATCCTATTGGCTCCATTAAAACTGATCCCATGTCGTCGCCTACTTTGATATTGACATCACAGTGTGATTTAATTAATGTCTTCACCATCTCTTCATTTTCTTGAAATACTGCTAAATACAGTGGAGATTCATTGCATGAGTTCAGTTCGTTAATGTCTATACCTTGAGACATTAATAGTCGAATAAATTCATCATATGAATCTACCATTTCGTTACTCTCTGCTGCAAGAAAATGAAAAAGGGTACCTTCATTGTATCTAATATCAAGGTTTGCTCCTCTTTTTGCCAAATATATTACCACTGCCGCCATACCACATTCAGCAGCTTTTTGGATGGGCGTTGTCCCATCAATATCTTGTAGATTAACATCCGCCCCTGCCTCCACCAATAATTGTATACAATCAAGAACTTCCTTCCACCGCCCGCCACGGACACAATAGTGCAGAGCAGAATATTGACGATCGCTCGTCTGTCGATTAATTGTATTTTTTAGTTCACTCTTCAACAAAATCTTCAAACTTTCGATATTTAGTTCATTGCAACATAACATTATTAACGTTTCCTCTTTATCAGGGTTTTTATCTAGATCTTTCAGTCCAAGCAGATATTTTAACACCTCGACGTGGGTGTTTTGGACGCACTCAACGAGGGCACTCCATTTCTCTCGGAATTTTGAATGTGAAAGATAAAGAGGTACTCCTTTAGAGTGAAGGAACTTAACGCCCTTCACGAAATCAGATTTTATTGCAATCTTCATCAGTTGTTTTTTGGTCTCAATACCTACAAAGTGCCTAGCAATACTCTTTGAAGACAGCAACAATTTCACCATAGGTAGGCATCTGTTTTTAAGAGCAGCTGCACACGCCTTTACCCATATCCAAGGCGGTATATCACAGTCGTCTCCTAATTCTACATGCTCCTGAATAATTCTTTCTACAGCAACTGTATCATTATTAATGACAGCTTCTTTTAACCTGAAATAAAATATAATTGTTGTTAAAGATCGGTTGTCATCACATATATTAAGATAGACCATAAATTCACAAATAACTGATGCACTTTACTTATGAAATTTCCACAGATAAGATACAAGTCATACAATCCTACGCCTACGATTGAAAACTTGTCTGCCTTGTTTTATAAAAGATAGGTTGCCAGGCAACAAAACTAGTCTGCCTTGTTTTATAAAACCTTGTAACTGTGCGATTCTCACATAGACATTTGTTTCATTATTTCCTAAATAATTTATTTCAAAGTTACTATTTCGGATTTTCAATCATTTTTTATTGTTTTGTTTCATCTCAATCATATACCAACATGTAGATATTAAAGATGTCGACAATGTCATTGCAGTGTTACTTAAGCCTCGTGTATACACTTGCGTGCACTTAAAAATCCCTTGGCAGTTGGAATTCGATATAAGAGTAGGCCATAGTGCTTGACACGGCATATACTGGACGTGGGCGTGGCCTGCCTGTGTTTTTGTTACCCCTATGTGATCGCCATGTTTCTTTTACAAATTGAAAATAAGTATGGCGGTCGTTTAGGGCGTTACCTTTTTTATTTAATTATTTTTTAGTTTTGTAATCGGAGTTCAGCTTTCTTTAAACTCAATTATCACAAAGGCAGACAAGTGATAAAAAAGGTCATCCCACAGGAATCAAATCGAGATAATTTAATACAAATCTCTTTAAACTTTAAACTCAATTATCACAAAGACAGACAAATGATAAAAAAGGTCACCCCACAGGGATCAAATTGAGATAATTTAATACAAATCTCCACTGTTAACCACACTGACTCATTAAAATTGGAACCAAAGACCAGTTATGTTTCGAAGTTTTCAAAAATTACCTATAACAGATTTGTTCCGGAAAGCCTTCACGTAATTATCTCTTTTACCAATTATTTTAATGTTTTATATTTTACCTGTACACTGATATTTGTTTGTTTTACTAAATATACTATTCCAAAAAAGTAGGGGATATTTGATTTTGGGGGCATAATACTAAAATATGCAAATGACTACGAAAAAAGTCACTATAGAACCTAACAGAAGAAACATTTCCAGTTACATGTGACGCCCAAACGCACCAATAGCTACCGCATGGAATGCAGGTGATGCTTGGGATCATCATGGGGGTCCAACCCAAGATTTGCACGACTCTGACTTTGAATGTTACAGTCATTGTGGCATTGAATTCCAGGGTGGAAACATCAGTTTAATTGTTTTAGTGACCAGAAAACAAATTTTGATATGCGTCGGCTTACCCAAAATGAAAGGTTACGTGCCCTTGGCATGCTACAGATCGGCACAACACAGGCGGTTGTGGCGCGGACGATGAATGTTTCTCAGTCTGTCATAAGCAGGCTATGGTCCAGATACCGTGATACACAATCTGTACAGGACAGACCACGCTCAGATCGACAACTCAAGCCCAGGATCGATTTATCCGTACCTTGGCCTTGAGAAATCGTGTCATCACAGCAAATCAGATCAGCGCTCGTTTTCAAACAGACACTGGTGTGAGAGTGAGTGGCCAGACGATTCGGAATCGACTGCATAGGGGTCACCTTCGCGCCCGACGTCCTCGCGTGATCCCTTGTTTGAGAGATCATCACATTCAGGCAAGACGTCGTTGGTGTAGGGATCGTCAACACTGGGATAATCGACGCTGGAGCAATGTGATGTTTTCAGCTGAGTCAAGGTTCACTGTTTATTTTTTGGACAGACGTAGGAGGGTGTGGCGTCGTCGAAACGAGCGCTTCCAAGACGTTAACGTCATCAGACATGATCGATTTGGGGGTGGTTCTGTTATGGTGTGGGGAGGCATCACTGTTGCTGGAAGAACGGCTTTACATGTTGTTGCAGGGCGTGTTACAGGCCAGTACTACCGGGACAACATCTTGGCAGTCCATGTTGTGCCGTTCGCACGACGTCATGGCCGCCGTTTCATCTTCCAGGATGACAACGCAAGATGTCACAGGGCCAGGATCGTTACAGGTTACCTCCAACAACAGAACATCACCACATTACCTTGGCCAGCACAGAGTCCCGACCTCTCCCCCATCGAGCATGTCTGGGACATGCTTGGACAGAGGTTACGTCAACGTCAACAACGTCCTGCCAATGTCCAAGAACTTGCTGCTGCGTTGCAACAGGAATGGGACAATCTGGACCAAAATGACCTTAGACGTCTCATTAGGAGTATGCCACGTCGGATCAATGCTTGTTTGGCAAACAGAGGAGGATTTACCCGTTACTGACTTGGTTGTGATGCTGTGGTAACTTTGCTGTTTGACCCCGGGTATCATTTTACCCTTATAATGGTCAGTCTGTGCCTTACTTAGTCTAACGATCATTTGGAATAAATCGATGAATGTGAACTTCATTTCATTTTGTCATTTGTTTCTTCGTCAGTTTCATTAGGTGACTTTAATAACACTTAAAAATCAAATATCCCCTACTTTTTTTGAATAGTATAGATTAATTTTAATTTAAGATTTTCTATCTATATTTTATCTGCACCTGTACCCTGCTATTTTATTTTTTTAAATCCTATTATCTTGTTTTACCAAATAGTTTTATTTTATTCTGATATGATTTCTATCTATATTGTTTTACATTGTGCACTCATAGTCATATATTTACAAACTGGATTTTGGCGCTATAAAAGTTCAATATGTTTTAGAGATACTTAAATTTTAAAGCAAAGAATTCAAAGAACTGATTACCTTATACATGTGTAGGTAATTTTTAAATTGAATACTTTTTTCGCAGGTCGAATTTATAGAGTTGTATGACATGTCATCCCGTAGGATTTGTATGCTAAAATTGATATTTGTTCTTTGGTTTGGGATGGTGTGTTTCCAAACGATCCAAAAATATCAGGGTTTAAATTTTTCGACCCCTTGACCTCTCTGGGAGGGACCTTTTTGAATTCGGGACCCCTCTGACCGAGGCCATAGCTATCACCGCCAATATGGGTTGGATTTTCATGATCTGAAATTTATTCTGGTTTTAATTTCATCATTTCGACCCCAATTGGAGGGTCTAGGGCACAAGTGATCTAACTACCAACCATTTTAGTTGGTTGTTAGATCACTTGTGCTATAGACCCTCCAATTATGATACACTTAAATCAAATGGAAGTGGTTATCATTGACTTCCGATGAGAAATTGACCGTTTTCTGACCGAACAGTGTGCGACAGGACCAAGGTAAACGCCCATGATTCAAGCCAAGTTGATAGCCTTCGAAAATGGTTACGGGGTCAAGGTCGTAAGTCAAGGTCAAATGTCCCAAAACTGACTTTGAAAAGTTTGAGTTTAGTTTTCTGTAACATGACCTTGACCTACGACTTTGACCTTTTTTACTTTTCTGAAGGACGTTGTCTCTGCTTTCACCTCAAGCATTAACTTTGATAATACAGTTAGAAATAGGGTCACGGCAAGCGTAAACGAAAAGGGCCCGAGATGAATAGGAAGTTTGGACTCAAGGTCAAAGTCAAGGTCACGGATGGTTAAAGGTGACTAGTGGAGGTCACCACGACCTTACACATTGACCACGCCCATTGACTTCCTTTCGGACACGGGCCCTTTGCGTTTGACCCTTTTCTGACCGAACAGTGTGCGACAGGACCAAAGTAAACGTCGATGGTTCAAGCCAAGGTGATAGCCTTCGAAAATGGTTACGAGGTCAAGGTCGTAAGTCAAGGTCAAATGTCCCAAAACTGACTTTGAAAAGTCCGAGTTTAGTTTTCTGTAAGATGACCTTGACCTACGACTTTGACCCAATTATCTTTTCTGGAGGACGTCGTCTCTGCTTTCACCTCGAACATTAACTTTGATAATACAGTTAGAAATAAGGCCACGGCAAGTATAAACGCAAAGGGCCCGAGATGGATGGGACGTTTGGACTCAAGGTCAGAGTCAAGGTTACGGATGGTTAACGGTGACTAGTGGAGGTCACCACGACCTTTCACATTGACCACGCCCATTGACTTCCTTTCGGACACGGACCCTCTGCGTTTGACCGTTTTCTGACCGAGCAGTGTGCGATAGGACCAAGGTAAACGTTCATGATTCAAGCCAATGTGATAGCCTTCGAAAATGGTTACGGGGTCAAGGTCGTAAGTCAAGGTCAAATGTCCCAAAAATGATTTTGAAAAGTTTGAGTTTAGTTTTCTGTAACATGACCTTTACCTACGACTTTAACCCAATTATCTTTTCTGAAGGACGTCATCTCTGCTTTCACCTCGAACATTAACTTTGATAATACAGTAAGAAATAAGGCCACGGCAAGCATAAACGGAAAGGCCCCGATATGGATGGGAAGTTTGGCCTCAAGGTCAAAATCAAGGTCACGGCAATATTTACACCTAAAGGCCAATCCACTGATCAACACCAAATAGTATTTTATAGAAAATGGTGGCTTCGCGCAAAAATTAAAGTATACGAAAATTATATTAATTTTTATGAACTGCAGTGTTAGGCAGCTAGTGCAGTGTGTCGGTTTCCGTCTAAGTGTCTTGTTATTCGAGTCGGTTTCCGTCTTAGTGTCTTGTTATTCAAGTCTAATTAGTAAACAAAGCAAATGGCGTCAAACGGATGAAGTTCTCTCTCGTTAGAAATTAAAAGGTCGGTAAAATAAAAAGTTATTTATCGATTCGGCTGAAATTTGGTGTGTGGTCATTGATAGCCCCCCTTAACATCCTCTGAAAATTTCAAGTGCCTACGACCACGGGAATTGGTAGAGGTACGAAAGTGCAATAGCGCCCATTTATGGTTAGATTTTCGAAAATCACTGTGTCCATGCACTGATCCATATTTATGTTAAGTTACAGCTATGTAACTGATGACCATATTATTAGCCCCATGAGGAGATATTTGGTGTGGTCTGACATGGGGAAAGCCCCGGAAATTTAGGTTAGATTTGTGCAGAAAGTTCAACCATGTAATTTATGACTTAATTTTTTGGTCCCATGAGGGGTACTTTAAGGTGCTGCTGTGGCTATGTCCGATCTGACCAATTGATTTTTACTCGTATAGACACCAACAACAAATTTGGGGAACTGATGACCATAATATTATTTTGTCATTCGCTCCTGGACTCAAAGCTCATTTAGTAACCTAGTATATATATCAAATAACGATTTTTTATTGAAGGATATACCCCTAAATCAAACTGTAACTAACATGAAATCATGTTGACGTCACATATACTGCGTATGACCCTAACGCTATACCATTAGCAACACAATGTATAAGTTACCCTGATGATCACTATGTTGACGTCACATTTACTCGTATGACGCCATGAATCACGTCCCTTGACATTGTTAACGCTATACCATTAGCAACACAATGTATAAGTTACCCTGATGATCACTATGTTGTGAAACCGGTTGGTAATGAATTTATATGAAGACCAATCTTCAGTTTGTTATTTTTAAAGAGTATATATATATATATATATATCAATAATCATCCTCAATACACAAGTACAAATATAATCATCTCACTTGATCACTTTATGTCATGTCATTGGTATGTGTATAATATTTATAACCTACTTACTGTTTCCAGTTTTCCTTTTTTCTACGTCGATTCATTGCTATAAATAAAACTTAAACTGGTAGATGTAAATTTATCAAATTAACTGACATTTGTCACACTGAATCTTGTACGATACGCTTCCTAGTGACGTATATATACAATAGTCTCGTATAACCATACACAGTTAACTTAAAGAACGTAACACGCTTGGATGAATTGGCAAAATTTTACTCATCGCCAGGGTATATAATTTAATTTCTAAGAAACACAACACTTGCTTAGAATGTAAAGTGAAAATGAAAGTAGAATATTGACTGGAGTAAGACTACTAATTATTCACCCAGTAGTTGTCAATGTTAATATCATATTATAGCTAGATTTTTATAGTATGTAAAGTGAAAATGAAAGTAGAATATTGACTGGAGTAAGACTACTAATTATTCACACTGTAGTTGTTAATGTTAATATCATATTATAGCTAGATTTTTATAGTATGTTAAGTGAAAATAAAAGTACAACATTAACTAATTATTCACCCAGTAGTTGTCAATATTAATTGCACATATATATGTAGCCTGATCATTTTCGTGACATTCGGTGAAGTGTAACAAGATACTATTATTAGATCCTTATATCTAAGAGGTCATTTCGGGACTAACATATGGTTCAATTTCAGTTCGATAAGCAGTGGGGAGGAAACCAAAGGACCCACAGAAAACCCACGAGGTTGGACAGGCGACCCTAGTCCTTGTCGCGTTAACAGTCTAATGAACCAATTATGAAAATATTATTATTCTTTAAATAAACCCCCTGTTTACGTCTGGATTCTGCACCCCCACCCCAACCAATAGTTTACAAATATATACGATTATTATTGCCCGTCACCCCATCTTGGGGGGTTAGATGGCTGAATGGTTAGCGTGTACGCACTGTATCATAAAGTCTGTCATTGAGTCAACTGGCGGGATTTCGATTCCCCAGTTGTACGTGACAAGGAGTAGGGTCGCCTGTCCAACCTCGTGGGTTTTCTCCGGGTCCTCCGGTTTCCTCCCACTGCTAAAGACCCCTACGCGCATGCGAATTATTGAAATAAAATTAAACCATATGTTAGTAACGAAATGACCTAGTTTGTGTCGAGTGGACGTTAAACCCCATCTTGTGTTTAGTCCACCCAGGTTTAATAGATTTCCTGTAATCAGGACATATAATAGCCAATTCTGTAAGTCTAGTTGAGCTGAGAATGATGTGAGGGATGAAAGATTCTGTACCGCATGAACGTGGAGTTGTATGCCTACCGATGTCTTTCCAGGGAGATTTATATGGTTGTCATGACAACTACTTTCCAGTCCTACATAATCAACTATTTCTTTCTGTTTCTTGTCCTACGTTTCTTTTCAATTTAATGTAGCAAGTTTCTTTGATTCCGATTTCTGTTCCCGTTTTGCCAGCCAGGTGATCGAGTATCCAAGCATCAAAATAACGCAGTCTATTCTATCCATTTTCATGGACTGTAATCTCTGTTTTGGCATCTGTTATCCACAAAGAAAACGTCTTTTCAAATCATTCTGAACGGCTTGTGGTGGTGGCAAATATTATCCAGCTTGACTGAAGATTTGGTCCGGGGGGGGGGGGGGTCAATCAAATCTCAAAATTCACCCTTACAATCTAACCAAAAAACAAAATTGTTTTGTCTCGTTTAATATAATGGCCTCGATTTTCTCTGCTTTATTCAGGAAGATGATAAAATATATAATGATGGAAAAGGAAACGAAATAGAATCAAGCGTTGTGATTGCAAAATTCTGATAAAGCCAGCACTGATGTCTAGTACAAATAGTATTATTAGTTAAAATAGAGCCTCCTCGTTTCTGTTTGTGAGAGTTTTTGCCCATTTTTTTTAATCACGGATAACAAAGGGTGAGTGAAATAATCTATGGTCCTGAAAGCGTACTTTATATATTGGTCGCCTGATGCAATCGCTCCTATTAACTGACGCAAATGAAATGAAATGGAGTTTACCGTCTTCATTAGCCCAGTGGGAGCAGAACAGTATGACATTAAGCCCCATTTCACTCACTCTAAAAGACAATTTAATTAAAACACAGATCCTATTGTGATGATCCGAAATTTCTGCAACTGGTAATAGTATTACGTTTTCATGTATATTTGACTTTAAATTTAATTACGGGTTTCTATTTGGCTTATTGTGTCTCACCTTGCCTACGGCTTCGTCAGTTATTTATTTTTATATCTAATTTTAATGTAATCAGTGTCCATTGTATTTGTTTTATCGGTAATCCTTGTATTTTTTTTTTTTGTTTTTTTTTTTTTTTTTTTAACAGTAGGACGTTAAACCCCATTTCATTTTGTATTTTTTTATCGTTCGCTTTATTGTCCTGTATTGTTTATAGTTGATCCAGTCTACTTCCGTCTCTTTTCTCTCATTGCGCATGCGTGGCGCGCTCTATTTAAGTAGTGACAACTAGTCTGTCAGTGATTCAGATGTAGGGTTTCAAGGTGAGAGGTCGCGTGTTACGGGACCATTTCTTGGGCCGTGTGCTTCAAGTTACCTTGACCATAACCTGGGCTTCTGCTCATACGTTGGTCGATACTTGCACGCTGGGTTCGTTCCTGGAGTTTTACGTTCATTTCCACCAACGGTGATATCGTAGAAAAATAATTCCCTTGGGGTATTTAGTCGTGGAGAAATCGGAGAAATTCGACGAGGTTGGAGACGGGTCGGCTAAGCCCTCCCCCGCCCCCCCCCCCCCCCCAAAAAAAAAAATCGAATTAGCTCCCCCCACCCCAAATATTTCACTGACCATAATGATTTTTTATGGAGTGTTCAAATTGGTAGGCGACCCGTAGGCTGGTAGCATGGTCAACCGAGGTCTGCCTGTCATGATCTTGATAATGCTTTGTGATGCGTGTTGGTCTACTGTCACTGAACACGTGTACTCGCTCATCACACTCGCGTACTTGCGGCTCCTCTCGTCTCGCGTAGTCCTACCGGCCTAGCATCCGACTCGTGTCCAGTCTTTCCATTTGCACTGGCAGAACTGGCAGAACATTTTTGAACGTTTTGAGATTGACAATTCGATAACGACGAAGACAAGACGATGGATGTATTTGGGATCTAGAAAGAAACCATCGTCTTCTGATGACGTGACTACATCGTCTACCACGCCGGCACCAGGATCAGCAGCACCTCATTTCAACGATTCACCTCCTGATGTCCAGTCCAAGAAGAAAGCGGCTTGTCCATCTGATCTTGGCGATGATGTGTCAGCCCAGCCCCGTGTGCATGAGTCGCTTTGTTTTGTTTACGCGCGTTGCTACGATACCAAGTGTCCGTCTGTCAATCATTCATTCACGCAAATTTCAAGCGGCACGGGTTATTAGGAAGGGGTTGTCCATCTCATAACGCAATAGGAAGAAGAAATAGTTCAAAATTAGCTCAAGCTCTTGATGGTACCAGAGACTGCATAATTTATCGCCATTTTCCTGGTACCTGCCCTTTTATATACCCGGGTTACGGGTTTAAAAGAGGCCCTGGTTTATTTGTTCGCCTACTACAGAATGCAAGGCGCCGGTTCAAATGTTTGCATTTGCCGTAGGGTGCCTAACATGTAGTGCCTATTGTGTCTAACATAAGGTGCCTATTGTGCAGCCTATATACTGTAATTCTATGAATAGAATAAAAGAATACCTATAGTTCACTTGAAATTTGATACTACAGCTGTATTGCCCGGCCTAGAGTTCTCCGCTTTAATCAAAAGACTACTACCCTCAAGTAGGAGGAGTCGAAGAAGGAAATTTCAGAAAATTCAGCCATAAAACCCTGCCTGGGACACTTCAATTTGAGGCCCAGGAATGCACTCAGATGCGAGGAGAGAACACCGAATTTTCTCAATTTTCTGGTGGAGGACCCCCAGACCCTGATTCGCTCCTTCGGCGCTTTGCGTTGGCCGCCATAGCCGGACACATCCTCAGCCCCTCCCTGGGCAACTTCAATTTGAGGCCCAGGAATGCACTCAGATGCGAGGAGAGAGCATCAAATTTTCACAATTTTCTGGTGGAGGACCCCCAGACCCTGGTTTGCGGTGGCCACCATAGCCGGCCACATCCTCAGCCCCTCCAAAAAACTCCATAGCCCCACCAAATTTTACGAGCTGGCTACGGGCCCGGTTGGACAGGTGACCCTACTCCCTGTTACATACTGAGTTAGATCTAATGAACCTGTCGTGAAAATATTAAACTAAAATATTAACCAAAATGTGCAAATAAAATGGCGGGAAAAGATGGAAGATGATATATTTATAAATATATCAAAATCCAGGAATTTACCCAGGCTTCGATATTTATCATAATTGGGCTGTGACTAACGACAAATACAATCTAAAAATAGATCCTCGATCAATCAAGTCAGGTGATAAACAATGCTCGTTTTCTTCTAATAAAAATGATGTGAAGCCAACTATTGATAGGTAAATTAGTTTGAATATGTTTTTAGTCCAAATATATATACGTGGATGGCATTTAGTCCCGAAATGACTACCTTGTGTCGTCAGGACGTTAAACCCCAGATGATTGTTTGTTAGAAATAGATGGTAAACGTATCGTTCAATCTGGTGCTATTTTACGATATTTAGCGAGACGTGGTGGTATCTATGGTAACAATAATGACGAGTCAACCAGGAAAATATGTATCATAATTTATTCAAAACCACTTATTGATAGATTCCGCATCCTTAATCATATTTTTCTCATATTTTTATATCATTACCAAAATACTTAATCATTTGTCTACAAACTTGTTTTCATTAAAGTTAGCACCCTCCGTCCATTAATGTTATTAGTTACCATCATCCATCCATTAATGTTAGCATTCTCCGCCCATTAAAGTTAACACCCTCCGTCCATTAATGTTACATTCTCCGTCCATTAAAGTTAACACCCTCCGCCTATTAATGTTACATTCTCCGCCCATTAAAGTTAACACCCTCCGTCCATTAATGTTACATTCTCCGTCCATTAAAGTTAACACCCTCCGCCTATTAATGTTAACATTCTCCGTCCATTAAAGTTAACACCCTCCGCCTATTAATGTTAGCATTCTCCGTCCATTAAAGTTAACACCCTCCGTCCATTAATGTTAGCATCCTCCGCCCATTAAAGTTAACACCCTCCGTCCATTAATGTTATTAGTTACCATCATCCATCCATTAAAGTCGAAACTAACATATGGTTCAATATTTATTTCAATAATTCGCTTGCGTATAGGGATCTTTAGCAGTGGGGGAAACCGGAGAAAACCAATGACCATGAGGTAGAAAGAAAGCGATTAGGCATGTTCATAAATAACCTGTATTGTGCATGCTACAAGTTCGTGTAAAAAATGGTCGAAGTTTTTATAATTATGATATATGACGAGAAAGGGGGCGGACAGGGTTACAGGGGTTTCTGGGGCTTTTAAATTGAAACGAACAACCCCCATCCACACGTTCTGACCATCCTAATGAGACCAGAATGTGACGTCCAATCTGTTTCACAGAGTATTACGAAATTGTCGCGGCCTAGCGAATATTCACCGCTGATCAGTGTGTGTGACGTCATGTAGGAAATGGGAAATAACTCTTGTTAAGAATTAGGCCAAGTAATATACTGAGTCAGTGATACAATAATAAAAAAATATCTTATCACATCTTATATAAATTATCATACTTACACAATAACGATAACATAACCAGGGGGCGTAAATGTAGGAGGGTGCTGGGTTGGTACACCCCCAAGGAAAAAATAGTCGGTCGCATAATAAGTGCAGTCGGTCTCAAAGTTATGCATCGGCGATTAAAGGAATTAATGACGTAAACAAACAAGCCAAGATAAAAGGGAACAATCCCCAATACTTAAAATAATATATGAATCCGTGCACTTAAATTGCATACGTCACACAAAACTATGGTATAAAATAACCTAGTCAACTTGTCATGTTTGAAAAAGAAAAATGTCCCGTTATGAGTATGTTGGTCAAAGAAATCTCGAGAGCATCTATACAAAGATTTTGATATTTCAAAATATATTCTAGATTGTCATACGAATAGTATTAACCGAACAGTTGATAAGAAGTTATCGGAAGCATAGTTTTATCTTTTGGATTGGTAAAAGAGAAGGTGAATTTGTTTCAGAAATACGTAAAACATCTTTCAATTACGAAATGTTAAGACGCTCTATTGATTTTTTACTTTTTTCATATTCAATCCCAGTAGAAATTAAAACGTATTTTACTCATGTTATGAGTGTTTTCTGACCATCAGAATTCTGCAAAATCTTCCTCCAAAATCCAGGAAATGGCATTTGACAGACTCTAGGTCGAAAAAGTTTTCAGGGGAGGGTGGGGGCATGGCCCCAGATCCCCTAGAAAAATTGCACCTGCGGTGCTCGACTCCTGACTGCGCCACTCGTAATAGAGGCATGCATGTGCATTATGGCGGTATATTAGATTCAAAATTCTAACATGCTATCGTCTAATTTCTAACCTCCGTTCATGTAATTTCTAACCTTAATTCATGTAATTTCTAACTTCAATTCGTGTAATTTCTAAATTAAGACAATGTATAATCCAACTTCTTTATTTGTTCAGTGTAAATTTTAATTCCATTTCATCTTATTTCTATTATTTAGACGAAAAACGTCTTCTTCATTGATGCTTTACACGTTTAGAATTTTTACACTTCTGCCTAGCAACCATCATTATGAAGTCGTTTGGTGTCGCCACTGCGTGCTCATTTGGTGATTGCGCACCTGGTATGGACCATTATGTTTATATAAACGACTCGCTCTTCGCCTGGTTGGTGGTTGGGCGGAGTGTTGAGAGAGAGAGAGAGAGAGAGAGAGAGAGAGAGAGAGAGAGAGAGGGGGGGTGGGGTTACGACCACTCGGCACAAACTAGGTCATTTCTGGACTAACATATGGTTCAATTTATTTCAACAATTCGCTTGCGCGTAGGAGTCTTTAGCAGTGGGAGGACCCGGAGAAAACCCACGAGGTTGGAAGGGGACCCTACTCCTTGTCACGTACAACCAGGGAATCGATGGTGAAATTGAAAACAACATCGAACGTGAAATGGTTGGTAAATACTACTTCAAATAAAAGCCAAACAGCATTTTTTTTTCAATTTTCTTGAAGACAGTTAAGCCATCAATAATATTTATTTACTGTTTTATTCTATTACTACTCTAACAAAAATGATAAACTTTTTCTTGATATTAGAAACCTCATACTGTAGGGATGAAACGGCCTTTTCGGGAGTCTGGGATAATCTGTTCATGTGGATAGCGATGGAGTTTTTATTTCTGATTCCTTCATTACACCGACCTGACTAACTTTATGGTAGTTTTTTTCCAAAAATATTTTATTCAAGTTGCATAAAGCAATACCGAAATTCATAGATAGCGGTTTATCGTCCTACTTTTCTACACCATCCAGGCTAATGAAGACATAATGATCCCGCTCAGTGCTCAATCGCCAAATTGAGCACACGGTGGCGACACCAAACGACGTCATAATGATGGTTGCTAGGTAGAGGTATCAAAATTCTAAATTTGCTCGACGTTCATGATTAACATGTAAAGTGACAATGAAGTAGACATTTTTCGTCTTAATAATAGAAATAAGACGAAACAGAATTAAAATTTACACTGAACAAATATATAAAGAAGTTGGATTATACATTGTCTTAATTTAGAAATTACATGAATTGAAGTTAGAAATTACATGAATTAAGGTTAGAAATAACATGAACGGAGGTTAGAAATTAGACGATAGCATGTTAGAATTTTGAATCTAATATACCGCCATAGTGCATCAGTTGTAGCATTTTTGCTAAACACCCCTCCCCCACAAACAAATTTGTTATGTACGCCCCTGAACATAACGTGCAGGTGAACTCGGGTGCTGGTGAAATGAGAGGGGAAGTAACGCTTGTGTAAAATTAGGTCAAATAACACGAACACGTTACGAACAATGTCTGGAGTAAAGTTGGTATATTTCAATGGACGAGGAAAGGCGGAGTTAATCCGATTGGCACTGACTTATGTTGGAATAGAGGTAATGTATAGTATTGTATATAACATCTAACATACATGATAATTGATAATATACAGTGGCATTACAAAACTTCACGTACAGGCCACGCCAACAACACATCAACAATGTCATTCACTGTCAATGTATCAATATATCACTGGATTCAGACCACAGTTATTATATGACATGGGATTTAGCGTCTTACCTTTTTGCATCAACCAACGAGGTCGTGTTTAGCCTTGGTTGCGTCTTGGATTTATTAATAATGATATATAATATATATACCCAAGACACGAATAGTAATATTAAAATGTGGATTGATAAAATATGTAAAACAAATGCCGTATTTAGTGATAACCAGCTACTCTAATAAAAGGGTCACAAAGCGCTATTTTATTTTATTTTATTTTTTTTTAATGGGAATGCATGTATTTCAGTATTTAAAACTCTTTAACAATCAGAGGTATCCTTGAAATTACATAGTGTAAATATTTTATGGACGCAAGTTGTTTTAATCATTACATCAATTTCCTGACAAAATGAGGCGGAAAAAGGGAGTTTTGACATCATTCACAGCATAAAAGGAGTATGAACAGGTTATTAATTAATATTTTATTGTTCTGTAAGTGCCATATTTTAAAAGATCACAACAAATAATACATTTACATCCAAAATGTACAACATTAAGTTGCAAAAGACACATCTACAACATATCCATTTTGGGGTGTGGAAGAAATGTCATAGGATTACATGTTTGGTCATAAACAAAAAGTCTTAAAAATCCTTGAAATCTTATATGTAACTATTTGTTTGTGCCAAATAAAATGCTCGGTTACAATTCAAGCACGAAATCCAATTACTGCTATTTTGGAGTCAATATATGTTCAATCGAATATCCAAATATGTTCAAGAAAGGGGGTGGGGTGGGGAGGGTGAGCTCTAAATGAAATGAAGACAGAGAAATTTCCCTGCAAACACATAGATTTCAGGTTTTAAAAGATTAAACTTGTGTTAAGCCAGAGGAACACAGCAGCAAAATGCAGTTCACTCCTGTTTTGAAAATCCTAACACACCTCAACAGTACATAATTAAACTAAATGTCTTAATTTTTAAATTTTTGACAAACACATGGATACTTTTTCAATATCTGACAAACACATGGATCCTTGCCAAGTTATTTAACAATGAAAATAAAGACATGCAAGACATTTTGGTTCATTTTACAACAGATGAATAATTAAAATTGGGGGTAATCTGAACAATTTTAGACAACTTATCACTTGATTTTTAGGCAAAATTGAGTGAAATTATGATACATTCTTCCCGTCTAACCTTTTTGACGCAGAAAAAGTAAAAATTATACATTAAAATAATTTCCACTCATTTTAAAAAGTAAATAAACACTGAAAATAACAAAATTTGGACTAAAATCAAAAATTACCCTCACAAATTTGTCAAATATTTTTGAAATTTTATCATTTCACTTTTCGTATTATCAAAATGTCATAAATATATCACATTTTCTGACAATTTGGATCATTTCATGAAATTTAGGCCTCTCATCCACTGGCAGGTTGTTTACATATAGGAGGCAGGCGACCATTAATTTCCCCATTGACTTCAATGTTAATTCTGGCCTCTTTGCCCATCTCCAACTTTTCCCCAAATTTTCGTTGGGCAGAATGCTTTTCACTACAGACAGAGGAACAAATGGTCATGTCTTTGCACTAAAATTTGTGTCAGGTTGACCACCAAAATTTTGAGTTACACAAACTTGAAGAAGCATACTAAAAACATGTAACTAGTTGCCGTACATATCACCGTAGCCAACCTGATAACCCCGTTATCCTTCCTCCTCAAAATCATGAATATTTACCAAAACCTGGGAGAAAATGTTAATTCAAACCCTGTTCATCGTCCATTCTAGACCCCAAAAAATCAACAAAAATGGGCATGCAAAAGGGGAGAAAAGAGACAGAGAGAGAATTGCTATAAATAGACGAACTACAATTTGTACCAAGATGGTGAAATTTAATGGTGGTCTGCCTCCACTTGATGGCATGAAACATACTGCTCTGATTAAAATCTAAGGTTATTCATATCAGTCAAAAGTGTGACAATGAATTATATTATATGAATTAGAATAAAACAGCCAAGAGTAGGCCTACCTTTATTTTGCCCACCCCTATAAAATATAATATCCATGCTCACAATACCCCCCTCTCTCTCTCTCTCTCTCTCTCTCTCTCTCTCTTTCACACACACACATTACGGGTGAGCATGGACTGATCATGGACTCTATAATACATCGATCATATGCGCCAAGAACAGAGCGAGTAAAGTGTTATTTTTTGATTATTTATTGTTTAAAATACCTACATGTAATTAAGTTTATATTTTAGTTTGAAGAAGTTTATCTAAAAGAAAAATCTGAGATCGAGAAGTTGAGATCAGGTAATTTACAAAGTATTATCAATATTTTCACCTTTTCAACCTTGACACTTAGAATTCGAAATAAAAGTAGTCTGTATGCCCTGTCTCCATTAGCCAGGTTGGTGGAGAGAGAGAGGAGAGAGAGAGAGATAGAGGGAGAGGGAGAGATAGAGGGAGGGGGTGAGAGAGAGGGGGTGAGAGGGAGAGAGAGAGAGAGATTAACGTCCACTCGACACAAACTAGGTCATTTCGGGACTAACACATGGTTCAAAATTATTTCAATAATTCGCTTACGCGTAGGGGTCTTTAGCAGTGGGGGGAAACCGGAGGACACGGAGAAAACCCACGTGGTTGGATAGGCGACCCTACTCCTTGTCGCGTACAACCGTGGAATCGAAACCTGGCAAGTTGTCTCAATGACAGACCGTATGATACAGCGCGCACGTGCTAACCATTCGGCCATCCAACGCCCCCTGGTGTAGAAAGGTAGAATATTAGGTGAATTGTTTTTCTATAATTACAGATGGTGATTTGTTATTTCAACAAGTTCCATTGTTAGAAATTGATGGCAAACGTATCGTTCAATCTGGTGCTATTTTACGATATTTAGCGAGACGTGGTGGTATCTATGGTAACAATAATGACGAGTCAACCAGGTAAAAACATATCATAATTTATTTGAGACATGAATAGATCCCTTGAAGATGAAATACTGAGTAGGTTACCAAGGTTACCAAAGTCGTAACCTATTCATATTCCTGAAGGAATGACCCGAGTGGGATTAGGTCTAAACACTGCGAGGAGTATCTAACCTACACGGACAAGGACATAACGGGCCGATATTAATGTTGACATCACTTTACTTAATACTTAAATGTCCACGGGCTTCTTTTCTTCACAGAACTCAGAGATGTACTCATAAGTTTCGGGCAATCTGACTTTTCGGGCAGAAGGGTAAAGTGAAAACAAAAAATATTATTTCATCTAATTAGCAAAATAAAATGCCCGAAATCTAATAAAACACTAATTTTACTTTTCTTTTAATTGAATACCATGAATTTGTATTGAATTTTTATATGGATTAAAGCCTTTTGTCAGGAACAACCCTACTTTGGTTGACATTTTTCGGACATCGATTATTATTTGTGAATGCAGCTGCAACAGTCTGATTGGATAGTTGGGGTTTCACTTGCAAACCAATGGGAAATTTTGAAGTTGCTTAATTTACGGGTTAAAATAGTAGAAAAACGCAGTTGCGGCGGTTAAATTTTCAAAATTTTATCGCGGAGCGCGAATCCCCATACCCCGCGATTGGTTGTTTGGGATTTGGGATTCGGGCAAGTCACTTAAGGTTCGCTATATCGGACCACATTGAAATTGCTGTATTCACGGACTGAATAGCAGAAAAACGGGTTTGCGGCAGCTAAATTTTCAAAAATTCATCGAGCCCGTACGTCTATGCATCACGAGACCATTTTTATGTATAAATTAATCTGATATTTGTAGTTTATATTTTTAAGAGTATACCAGTGAAACACCCTTCATAAAGGGCTTCTGGTTATTACAAAATTTAAATTCACGTCATAATCCAAATGTATAAATAATGAATTATTTATCGTTGATGTTATACATGTATACGTATACAATTTCACACACGGTCTTCTTTATATTATATATTATTATTGACACACTTATTCAACAAGGACGTTACTCAAATATCTATTTGATTTTTACACATGTGACGGCGTTGAGGAGCATAAAAGGTCTGACTATTCATTTTATTCGTGGAAACCAGTGAGGTGTTACATAGAAATAGAAGATGTTAATACAACCGTCTTTATGCTACGTTCTCACGATTTGTGTTTGCGACCGTCAAACTTTCCAAATTTTCGTCTATTTTTTTTGGCAGGGGGGGGGGGGCTTTTACGTGGTCTGTATCAGGTTTTTCCCCCATACGCTTATGATTGAACTTGATGTCATTTTCATGGGTGCTTCATAAAAATTGTTGAGAATTGATGAAATATTTGACATTTCTGTCTGTGGAGATGTTATTGGATTAAAGATAAACCATTCTCGAAACACTGAATATCTAATAATGGTCATTCTTATTCCAGGATAGATGAATTATTCGAGGGAACAAGAGATTTTTGTGGACCTCTCTTAGGCATGATCTTTAGACCAGAAGAAGATGTTTTAAAAGAAGCAAAAGAAAAACTATTACCTAGATATTTGCCTGTTTTTAATAAGGTAGTTTTCTTCTTATGTTCTGTCGCATCTTCAATAGAAGGATTGATCTTGCTTTAAGTCCGTACATCTTATCAAGGCCTTCACGACTGACATCTTCAATAGAAGGATTGATCTTGCTTTAAGTCCGTACATCTTATCAAGGCCTTCACGACTGACATCTTCAATAGAAGGCTTGATATCACTTTAACTACGTACATTTGTAAAACTGGCAGTCGTTGCTTCAGGAAAATGGTTCTACCGTGTCAGCCGTGCAGGACGGAGGGCCTGACAAGGACAGCCGTGCAGGACGGAGGGCCTGACAAGGACAGCTGTCTAGTCGTTCAGAGGTCCCGGGTATGCATTACCGTGCACGTAAAAGATCCCTCGGCTGTTGGAATTCGATATAAGAGTAGGCCATAGTGCCGCTACCCGGGAAAATTCCCCCCCCCCATAGCACACTACATGGGGTATGTCCGTTTTCATTAGCCCAGTTTAGCAGCAGAACGGTAGGACGTTAAACCCCATTTCATTTCATTTCATTTTTATGTTCTACCTTTAAATGGACACAGATCACTAAAGATTTCCCATTGACTCCAATGTTAATTCTCGTATCTTAGACCGGCTCTAACTTTTTCCCAAATTTTCGTTGGGTAGAACGCTTTCTACCACAGATGGAGCAACATGTGGCAACCACTTGCCCAAAAGCACGTATGAGGTTCTTCATGAAAAACTTGAGATACACAAGCTGGAAGTAGAGACAAGTAAACATGCAATTTCAGGCCCTACATTTCAACGTAACCAACCTCTCAACTCTTGTATCCTTCCGCATCAAAATTATGAATATTCACCAAAACCTGGCAGAAAATGTATTTTCAAACCCTTTTCCTCAATTCTACACCAAAAAGTCAACAAAAATTGCCATGCAAAAGGGGGAAAAAGGAAAAGGGAGAGGAAGACTAAAAATAGCTTTGGCCCTTGTTTCGTGGGTGACGGCGTAGGAATATTTGGTGATCTGTGTCCTATATAGGGGTGAAACTTCAGGGATCACCAAAAGGCCTTTTTTATTTCCTTCCCATGTGTTCTGGCAACATGCCGGTGAAAGAAAATCAAAATCAAAGAATAACTGTAAAAATGATGGCCCTTTAAGTACACATGCTGCTTTATGTACACTGGTGCATCTCAGGTCCATAGGCCTTTTGTGCTAAAATTTAAAAATCTTTCTTATTAAAGGCAGTATCTGAGTTCTGTGAAAAAATTAGACAAGTAACAAAGAAACTACATACAAAACACTCATAATTTGGAATTTTTTTCAAGAATATAATTTTTTACTGCCATGTGATGAAAAATGTACAAAATTTACATGTAGCATCTCTCAAAATACCAATAATTTTCCACTTTTTTAAATATCCGGACGGACAAGAAATATATTTTTAGAATCTGTGGACAATATGCAAACAGAAAAAATGCAAACCAGTTGCAATGATTGTAATATTAGAGATCTATACTGAAACATGTATGCCTACCCCCTGAACATGCCACTGATTGAATTAATCTAATCTATGGTTGCAGAACTTACATTACCAAAGGAATCTGTCTAACAGCTATGTTTTACCATCCCTGGCTAACATATGCACATATAAACTAAAATAGGTGCAATAAATATGAATTATGGTTAAAAATAGGCCTTGATGAATGAAAAAAATGCCATATTTGGTCTATGATCACCCCTCTCTAACAGAAGGGTCACAGAATACACAATTTTCACAAATTTGGGAATATTTCAATGTTTCCAACATCTCAAACCTCAGAGGCATGTTACAAATTTGTATTGCAATCCTTGTGCTGAAGCAAGATGTCTGGAACTTTACATTAATTTCCTGAAAAAATGAAGTCAAAAAAGTAGTCATGACAGACTTGACAACATAAAAAGAGGCCTGAAAAGGAGAAAAATTAACATTTTATTGTTTTATAGGCAACATAAATGCAGCAAACACCACAAATGCTGGATTTTGATAAGAAAATATTGAACATTAAACTGACATTTACACATCTACACCAGTTTTATATCTGGGTCTGGTCTCATTGGCCTGAAATGCCTCAGGGTTCTACGTTTGACTCTGAACAAATAAGGGTTAGAAATCCTTGAAATGCACAAAAAAAATATTTTTGGGTGAAAAATAACATTCTTAGCTGTAATTCAACCACAAATTCCAATTAAGATCATTTACATGTCAACACAGGTGCATTTAAATCCCTCAAAACACATTAATAGAAAAGGGTGGGGTGGGGCATTTATTGCCTCTCTAAACAGAATGATGGAGTAAAAAATGTCTAGAAAGGCTGGGATATTGCTTCCTACATGAAGGAAATGCAAGAATTTAATGTTTCAAAGAAGAAAAAAATGCTTATTCTGGGTAAAATAGTGGCAAAATTGAGCCAACCCCTGTTTTGAACATTTTGTACAAACCCATCTGCTGTACATTATTAACTCAGTGTTACCAATTTTCAATTTTCTGTAGGAAAGCTGGAGCTATTTCTAAACCTGACAAACATGTAGATCCCATCTAAGTTATATTAGCAAAGAAAATATGGGCATTTTTAGACATTTTGACTCATTTTAGTAGTCATGAAAATATTAATTTCTACATCCAAATGGGGGGAATCTCAAGATTTTTTGTGAATATTCCTGATTTTTAGACAAAATTTGGTGAAATTTCAATACTGTTCATTTTATCTGTGCTTTCTGAGACTGAATAAGCCAACATTGGGCATTAGAATATTTTACTTACTGTTAAAAATTCAATAAAAATTGAAAATTGAGAAATTTGCAGTAAAATCACAATTTTTCTTCAGAACTTTGATTTTTTTTTTTTAATTAACTTTTTTTAGTTTTTCTGTAGCCAAACTATTTTATTCATATTTTCTGAGAATTTAATCTTCATATTTTCAAAATTAAGGCATATCAGTGACAGCCTTATCACACACAGACAGGACACAGATCACTAAAGATTTCCCATTGACTCCAATGTTAATTCTCGTATCTTAGACCGGCTCTAACTTTTTCCCAAATTTTCGTTGGGTAGAACGCTTTCTACCACAGATGGAGCAACATGTGGCAACCACTTGCCCAAAAGCACGTATGAGGTTCTTCATGAAAAACTTGAGATACACAAGCTGGAAGTAGAGACAAGTAAACATGCAATTTCAGGCCCTACATTTCAACGTAACCAACCTCTCAACTCTTGTATCCTTCCGCATCAAAATTATGAATATTCACCAAAACCTGGCAGAAAATGTATTTTCAAACCCTTTTCCTCAATTCTACACCAAAAAGTCAACAAAAATTGCCATGCAAAAGGGGGAAAAAGGAAAAGGGAGAGGAAGACTAAAAATAGCTTTGGCCCTTGTTTCGTGGGTGACGGCGTAGGAATATTTGGTGATCTGTGTCCAAATGGCAGAATACAACCAATACTAGGGGAGATAAATCGCCGCAACTTCCGGGGGACAACTGCTATGATTATTGTTTTATTATCTGTTATGTACAGAGATTTGGTTCTGTTTTAATCTTTGAAATACTTGCTGTAGGTTCTGGAAGAGACCGGAAGTGGTTATCTTGTTGGTAAAAGTTTGACCCTAGCTGACCTTGGTTTAATAGAGCCGCTACTCATACTTGTTGAATATCTGGGTGATCAAGTCTTAACTGGATATCCACAACTACAGGTGAGGTCGTTTAAAATCATTAGAAATTCCAATGTGTTTCACAGAGGTATTGCGAAAGCCGTCTTATAACTCCGTTTAAGATGGCTGACATTTATAAATTCAAATGCCTTCTTCATGTGATCTTGTAGCCTGGAGGTCAGTTGTTCGATCCCTGCATTGACCGAGAAAGTTCATCCAGATTTTCCGGCGTGGTTCCCCCTTGTCAGTGATGCAGGACGGAGGGCCTGACAAGGACAGCTGTCTAGTCCTTCGGATGAAACGAAACACCGAGGTCCCTTGTATATATTGGAATGCACGTAAATGATCCCCTGGCAGTTGGAATTCGATATAAGAGTAAGCGATAGTGCCGCTGCCCGGGCAAAATTTCCCTCATAGCACACTGTATGGCGTATGCCCGTCTTCATTAGCCCAGTATAGGAGCAGAACAGTAGGACGTTAAACCCCATTTCATTTCATTTCATGTGATCTTTTCTACGATATCATCCTTTGTGGAAGTGGACGTAAAAGCTACATGTGATGTCACAGCCTTTGTTCTAATAACATAAAAAAAATGATCTAGAATTTTATTTGCAGAAGGAAAAAAGTTATATTGCGAGCTAATTAACCCGCATCGATGTCATCCCTCTCTGTGATTGTTGCGGTGTAGCGAATATTCGCTGCTGATCACTGCGTAGAAATTCGGTGTTTCCAGGATAAAAATGGTTTGCATAGTATATTAGAATTTTGGTCTGCTGCTGTTGTCTGGTGGGACAAACCCAATCTGTTTAAAATACAGATCTATATTTCGTTTCGTTTTTATTCTTTCGATGACCTACACTAAATGAAGATCTGACTTCAGGTGTCATACGAGCGACTTTTGACCCTATGACATCAAACATTTGATTAACCAATAAGCGTTGGTGTTTCTAGTGGGTTCCATGCACCTCACGCCACAAACTCACCGTAACAGACCGTTTCATTGGCTAATCCCTCACACCAACCAGAACGGAAGTTATATAACAACACTTCCAGATCCTAGTGTAGTAAAGACAAGTAAAATGATATTTTGAACTATAAAAAACGAAACGAAATAGGATCTGTGTTTTAATCAGATTGCTAAGTATTTGTATGGTGGTCAAGTCTCCATTGATCAAGCTCAGTTTGGCTCAACCAAGATTTTTAAACATTATTTTTCTATTTCAGTCGTTTTATAAAAATATTACTTCAGATGAAAAGATAGCATCATTCCTGGTCGGACCACACAGAAAACCTAAAAATGATCAGGCCTACGTGGATACAGTTAGAAGAGTTTTAAATTGGTAGTAAATTGAACAATGTACAATCGACATTTTATAATGATATTAGAATTTTAAAATGTATCTAAACACAATATATATATATATGTATTCCAATTAAACACATTTTTCCAGACAAGTAAATAAATTAACACCTAAATCCAGAATGTGTTTCGGCTGCATGGTTGGTTGAGATATTTACTTATTCAGTCGACGCATGCGTTGTAGCCCGTAATCCACCTTTTCACATGATTGTCACTATTTTTGGGATTGAGAGAATTCAATTCCGGAACGTTCAATCGAGTACCCCCCAAGGACTAAATTGGCAGTCAGTTTACTATTTCTAGTAGCCAATTAGCGACTTTGTAAGAAGAACTCAAACCTTTTGATTGGTCAGCGAGATGTCCCTTGTCTGCATTATCACTTCTGTGTAAGCGGACGTTAAATAAAGCTATTTCACACTCAGACTCACTTTGAACTCTAACTGGAAGGTTACCTGGCTTATATAAATGCAATGGCTTAGAGATAAGAACAGCTTTCCAACATATAATAGTGGGTTTATTCCTTGTGGTTTTACCGTCACCTTCATGTATACATGAATTGGCCTCATTTCAACCTATACCACCAGGCACACTTACCTTGTCAGCACCACATGCACACCCTCATCCCCGGACAAGTACCTCAAGCACATGGTTACATGGAGGAAATCGAAACCCACCACTTGACCTAATGACAAACCTTATGACTTAAAGTGAACGCATTAAACCATTCAGCCACCAACAGCCCAAATAATGGAAAACAGCTCAACAATAAACCCTATTTAATGATGATCTGATTAAAAAACAGATCCTATTTCGTTTTGTTTTTTATAGTTCAAAATTTTGTTTTACTTGTCTTTACCACACAAGGATCTGGAAAGAGTTGTTATATAACCCTAATTCTGGTTGATGTGAGGGATTAGCCAATGAAATGGTCTGTCACAAGTTCTTGGCGTGAGAAACATTAAGGCTGATTGGTTAATCAAATGTCAGATGTCATAGGGTCAAAATCCACTCGTATGACCTCTGACACAACCTTCCACTACAACTGGTTAGATCTTCATGTTGTGGAGGACATCGAAAGTATAATAAAACTAAACGAAACTCGATGTGTATTTTAATCAGAATGATTCCACATTGAAGGATACAAAAACAATTTTAGGCCTTTCTATATATATATTTATTTACAATAATAATAAAGCCTATCTATTAAAACAGGGTTCCCGCGGCTTCGTCAAACATTTTTTCAAGGATATTCAAGAATAAATATACGTCAAATACAAGGATTTCCAAGGACATTTTTTAGCCTAAAGTTACAATTTTTCATCTTAAAAATAACCAGAACATTACAACTATCGTTATAAAACTTCTAATCTAAACGGGATTTTCATATCAACTTACTATTATTACCAATTTGAAACAAAATTAAGGATCTCAACTGAAATTCAAGGATATTTTCCTATTTCCGCGAAATTCAAGGATATTCAAGACCTTGAAAAAGAAATTTTAAATCTAAGGATATTCAAGGATTTTCAAGGACCGCAGCAACCCTGCTATCTATTAAAACAGGGACCGCGGGAACCCTGCTATCTATTAAAACAGGGACCGCGGGAACCCTGCTATCTATTAAAACAGAACCGCGGGAACCCTGTTATCTATAAAATGATCATACAGAAAACTTCGTATAAGTCGAATCTAAATGGACTGATCAATTTTATCTGAGTTAGCCGCAGACCTAGTTCAGCTCTGAACGTAGATCTCATTATCGCCCTGTACATTCAGTATTGTATGCTAACATTCAGCAATCTCTACTGTAGTTCAGCTCTGAACGTAGGTCTCATTACACTCGCCCTGTACGTTCAGGAATCGTCCTATTGAATCCTTGGCGAAATAAAATCAGCTCCCAGTCAATTTTACTGGCCAATTTTTTACTGCTAAACGGTCGCGTGTCAGTCCGTGTGAACACCTGAACAATGTAAAGGAACATCTTAGTGAGAAAATAAGACCTTGCTTACCTCGCTAGAGAAAGTATGTGCAACACAACATGCTGATAAAAATCGGTCCCCTTCTGCTAAACGGCTTTGGCAGGCAACATTGAGGTCTAGATATGGGGTGGCGTACGGATTTACGTGGCTTGGCCATATAAGACGAAACAAAATTTAGGTAAGCTGGGGTGGGGAAAAATTAGAATTGTTGAAAAATTGAGAAACTTCAGTCAATTACTATCAAATTTTTTCAAAAATTCCAATTTCGTTTTGTCTTATATGTTGTGAACAAACTGCCAATCCGACTTAGGCGAAGGAAAAAAGCCGGAATTAGATCAAATGGACCGAACATTCTGATCCGAGTTAAGCGAAGATCCGACTTGCGCACAGAAATTAAATAAGAAAACGTGCAGGATCAAAGGGTCTAAACGATTTTATCCGAGTTGAGCGAAGAACCAAATTATATGAGGTGTACTGTATTATATACTATAGATTACCCCAGAAACATTTCTTTCTATCATCTTCCATAATACACAAAATAATTCTTTCTGAAAGTTCTGGTTATTTTACTTCCAGAAATAACATCCCTATCCATTGATGAGTCGATCCATCAACATATTGCATAAAAGTGACAAAGATTTGGTATAAAACCAGAACAAAATGAAATGAAATGAGGTTGAACCGTGAAGATGTGTGAAAACAATGTTTTATAGCCTCTAGTTAATTTGATTTACAACCGTCTGGGGATATTTAATATTCTTTTAATAAATTACACATTTTTTCATCCCATCCGAATTACATCACCAATAACGAGAAATGACTACTTCTTACTAAAAATATACAAGAGAAGTTTAGATTGATATAAAGTAGATTACCCTATTGTTGCTAAAACATGAAAACAATTCGTCTCATCGGCTTCAAACAAGTCCTAGAAATACACAATATTGGAAGTTTGGTTCCGCAAAATTCCTCTGGTCTCAGTCTTCTTCATTATTAAAAATGTACAAAAGAAATTTTGATTGATAAGACTAGAGAAAATTATCTCAGCACACAATTAATCCAATCTGCTCCAAGCCGGCCCTAGAAATACACAGTATTGAAGTTTGGTCCGGCAAAATTCCTCTGGTGTTTGTCAATAAGTCCTGCACATATTTGTCTTCATTCAATGTAGTTTTATGTTTATTTTTAATACCATGTCCAGTACAAATTTTTTTAAGTTCAAATCATCAGAAAATTTCCAGACCACCTCATGGAATTCACATCACAAATATATCTAGAGTTCAAACCATCAAGTACTTGTTTATTTGTCTGATAATTTGGTAGAAATAAAACTCTGTATTTCCAGACCAGGTCATAGAACTCACATCACAATGTAAAACTCTGTAAAATTATAGTTAAATTGAAACTGTATGTGTTAGAGAAGTTAAACTTTTCCAATCTTGAACCTGTGTTAGATTAAACTTTTCCAATCTTGAACCTGTGTTAGATTAAACTTTTCCAATCTTGAACCTGTGTTAGATTAAACTTTTCCGATCTTGAAACTGTATGTGTTAGAAAGAAATATGGCGTGATCTGTGGCGTGGATTAATATTAAAAATTTACTGATTTGTTTAATATAATTCCTGAAACAAAAAAACCAAACAATTGTTTTAAAATTAGAGATAGACAGGTCATTTCAGGATCAACATATGAAATAAAATGAAATAGAGTTTAACGTCCTACTGTCCTGCACTGACTGGGCAAATGAAGAAGGGCACACGCCTTACAGTGTGCTATGAGGTAAACTTTACCAGGACAGCAATGCTATTTTGAATTGCAACTGTCAAGGGTTCATTTATGTGCATGCCAATGTGTACATGGGACCTCAGTTTTTCCATCATATCCGAACGACTAGATAGCTGTCCTTGTCAGACTCTCCGTCCTGCATCACTGACAAGGGGGAAACCATGCCAGAAAATTCTGAGGAACTTTCTCGACGCGAATCTGCGACCTCTAAGCTAGTGAGCCAGTGTCTTACTCACTTAGCGACGGTGGCTCCACCTGACAGTTCCCAGGCCTGTCTGGAAGGTTCAACATCACCTGACAGTTCCCAGGCCTGTCTAGAAGGTTTGACACCACCTGACAGTTTCCAGGCCTGTCTAGAAGGTTTGACACTACCTGACAGTTCCTAGGCCTGTCTAGAGGGTTCAACAACACCTGACAGTTCCCAGGTATGTCTATAGAGTTCAACACCACCTGACTAACAGTTTCCAGGACTGTCTAGGAAGTAAATCTGTTTACCTATTTTCCAGCCTTTCGCTATCTTTAACCATTATACTACTCTTGTGAAGCTGATCAGCAACTTGTAATAGATATCGACATAGATTCTCCAACTTGGGTAAAGTTTTATCTTCTTCCAGGTCAATAAACCATTCTTTAGGGAACGTGGAAATAATCTACAATATAATACACAATGATGGATGAAAAACTGAAAGACACCCAGCTGTCTGCTTATAGAATACTTGACAGCAGAAAATTGGACGTCCAATGGACACAAACTAGGTAATTTCACAGCTAACATATGGTTCAAATTTATATCCATAATTCGCTTGCGCGTAGGGGTCTTTAGCAGTGAGAGAAAACCGGAGGACCTGGAAAAAACCCACGAGGTTGGGCAGACGACCCTACTCATGGTCACGGAAAAGCGGGGAATCGAAATCACACCCATTGACACAATGACGCATGCTTAATCCATTCAGCCATCCAACTCCTTCTTGCCTAATGCAGTGTGCCGTAAGGGAAATGTGTAATCATCATCATCATAATAATAATAATAATAATAATGCTGAATATGCAACGAATGAGTTACTCAAAAGTACACAGAACCTTTGCTTTCTGTCCTTCTAGCCAGACCCTTATCAGCAGAGAATTATTTATTATAATTTTTCCCAAGCAAATAAATAAAATGTGGATTAAATATCCTACTATTCTGCCCAGACTGAGTTAATGAAGATGGAATTCCAAGCAATGAATTCACAGTACAGTATTATCATATTTCGAGGTCTTCCATCTGTACTTACAGCTTGTGATTTTTCGAGAGCTTCTTTAGTTAAACAAGAAGAGTAGAGACCAAGTACGATATATCTGTTTAATAAACCGTCCAATGACAGATGTTGTAACACACTTGATGATAAAATACCCTGCCATGATAATATATTACCCAGTAACTGAAATAATACAAATACAATAGTTACAGTTTCAAATTAACACAATCCCAATCAAGGCCTGTCACAGAGCAAAATTGTGAAGTAATCAAATGTTAAGTTCTGCCGATTGGATGAGATAGTTTTTCGTGTTCAGTTGGGCATGGACTGTCACTAGAAATTCTTGTGCTTACTAGATTTCCACCTTTCAAGGGATTGAGAGAGAAATAGGGTTTAACGTCTGTTCTGCTCTGACTGGTCAAATGAAATGAAATGGGGTTTAAAGTCCCAATGTTCTGCTCCCACTGGTCTAATGAAATGAAATGGGGTTTAACCACCTACTGTTGTGCTCCGACTGAGCTAATGAAGACTGAGCTAATGAAGACAGGCACATGAGAGAGAGAGAGAGAGAGAGAGAGAGATGAATATCCACACAACATCAACCAGGATATTTTAAGATTTAAATAGAGTAAACTTTTCTTTCAATTAAAGTGGTCTTTAAATAAAACTCGAATCCCCGGTTGTACGTGACAAGGAGTTGGGTCGGTCGCCTGTCCAACCCTGTAGGTTTTCTCCAGGTTACCTCCAACTGTTAAATAACCCGACGCACAAGCAAATTATTGAAATAAAATTGAACCATATGTTATTCCCGAAATGACCTAGTTTATGTCGTGTGGATGTTAAACCCATTTCTCTTTAACTACAATACAGGAGAATTTGTTACCTTTATACACGACCATAGTTGACGATGAAAGAAAACGGTTGGACCCGATGATCTATTTTCTAGCACTCTAAAATATAAATAACACACAGTTTTAACATTTAAAATTAAAACCTTCAATTTTTCCATTGGCTCTTAAAATACAAACAAAGTCATGTTATCAGTTAAGTCACCTGACTGTTGCACGTTTCTCTATGTTAAATAAATATAGTAAAACAATAGTTCTATCAATATCATACAAATCAGTTTTTAAACCTCAGATGTGATTAATTACGATTAAAACAATAAAGATGTTATATACAATGAGTTAAAATGTTCGACCTCTATCAATATCAAACAAATCAGTCTAATGATCATGGGGGTCGGATTAATTAGATAATAACATTTACATTATAATATAGCACATATTTTCTAAATGCAGATTAACAACATGGTTATTTGTGCCATAACGAAATAAAATGGGGTTTAACGTCCTACTGTTATGCTCAGACTGGGCTAATGATGTGTGCTATGAGGAAAATTTTGCCCTAACAGTGGCGCTATGGCATACTCTTATATATCAAACTCCAACTTTTACATGCACAATAATATGTACATGGGACCTTGGTTTTTCGTCTCATCTTTGTCAGGCCCTTTTGTCCTGCATCACTGACAAGAAGAAACCACGCCGGAAAATCCCGATGAACTTTCTCGGCCACTGCCGGGATCGAACCACCCGCAACCTTCAAACTAGCGAGCCAGCACCGTACCCACTTAGCCACCTTGGCTCCATGCCTTGATGAAGAAGTTGAACTGATGCAGATACACTCTAGTGTTAACATTGACATACATGTAATACACATTTCTGATTGTCCAGTCTTTTCATCTGGTTTGTTGTGCATTTAATACTTACGATTTTGGATATAGAGGCATGAAGACATCATCATCCAGTGATTTCTTCATTCTATCTGCTATAGCTTTCAATAAAGACTGAAAGGAAGAAGACATACAAAAATTATAAAAACATTTATTTTTGTCGAGTGGAATGTAGTCCAGTTTAATTATGCAAAAGGTCTTTTTGACCTCAAATGTCACATAAATTATTTAAGATACATTATGTAAGATTTAGATAAAGAGCTGGACATTCTTGCTATAATAGTTACATTAAAGATACATTGTGTAAGATTTAGATAAAGAGCTGGACGTTCTTGCTATAATAGTTACATTAAAGATACATTGTGTAAGATTTAGATAAAGAGCTGGACGTTCTTGCTATAATAGTTACATTAAAGATACATTGTGTAAGATTTAGATAAAGAGCTGGACGTTCTTGCTATAATAGTTATATTAAGATACATTGTGTAAGATTTAGATAAAGAGCTGGACGTTCTTGCTATAATAGTTACATTAAAGATACATTGTGTAAGATTTAGATAAAGAGCTGGACGTTCAAAATATAGATAATAAAAATATATGGAACATTTCAATCGAATGACTTTAATTTGAGCGTTTTGATTGCTTATTATAGTAACACAGACTTACTTAGCCTTGCTTCACCATTTTTAAATTAAATCATTAAATGATCGAAGTGTTCTAATCAAATAAAAGATACATTATGCAAGAGAGAGAGAGAGAAATGGGGTTTAATGTCCACTCGACACAAACTAGGTCATTTCAGGACTAACATTTGGTTTAATTTTATTAACATAATTCGCTTCCGCGTAGGGGTCTTTAGCAGTGGGAGGAAACCGGAGGACCCGGAGAAAACCCACGAGGTTGGACAGGCGACCATTATGCAAGAGCTAAATCTGTCTATTGCAGGTCTTTCTTAGGCATGAAATGTTATATAAACTATTAATTAGACATTAACATATCCAGACCATAATCAACTCTCGATGGCATCGCTAGCCTGTGATCTTAAGTGGATTGTGATCCTATTTACTGCATAACTTTCCTTTTCGATTAAACATTTAAATGGATAATCGAGACTATGCTGTTTATCGTACTGACTTTAGTAATGATGACCGAGGCTAGGCAGAAATTTTATTGGCTTAGTTCATAGTGGATCAATTTGAATGAATTTTTCAGCAAATTGCCCTAATGTTATCTAGTTTTTAATTATTATAGTGAGAACTGCCAACTCGTTATCGAATCTCCCATAATGTATCTTTAATTGAAGCCATAATAAATGTATAAATAATAATTTTTATAACATTGGAAGCCAAATTAACGACCTATAACGAGCAGATTTGATTCTTACATAATGCATCTGAAACTAGCCATTTATTGACATGACAAGTCTATAATCAACTCTCTAGATCATCTGATAGCACAGATGTAAACAGACTAAAATACTCGTCATTTAATGTTAAAATGAATAATCAAGTATTTATTTTCATACTAATGTAACTTGACAATCGGGACATTTTGGTAACAAGAGTCCAATTTAAAAGCGTTCATTTCCTGATCACTGTTTGGGACAGTATTATTAAACTGGAAGACCCGGAAAAAAACCCACGAGGTTGGACAGGCGACCCTACTCCTTGTCATGTACAACCAGGGAAATAAAACCATGCTAGTTGACTCATGACAGACCTTATGATGCAAAGCGTATGTGTATTATTACAACCTTGACCTTATAAAACTAACCTGTGTGTTTTTATTATTAGCGTTAACAGTGGGATAATCATTGACGAGTTTCTGTACCAGGTTGACCAATCGGGACGTCTGTGTGGTCGACATCGGATCCCAAACATGCTGACATAAATCTGTGGAAGGAAACAACAGAAATAGGGTTTAACATCCACTTGACCAACACAAACTAGCAAATTTTGGGACTCAAATAAGGTTCAATTTTATTTCAATACCTCTCTTGTAAAGAAAGTGGAAAACCAGGAGAAATTCCATGTGATTAGACAGGTGAGGCTTCTCCTTGACATGTATCAAAACTCAATGGCAGATTTTAAGGTTTAAAGTGCCCCCCAAATCTGTGGATCAGATATTATTACTTCTGCTTGAGATTTACATCAATTTTAGGTTCTCTATCAGTTGTTTAAATGGAATGAAATGGGATTTACTGTCCTACTGGTCTGCCCTGACTCGGGTAATAAGACAGGCATACAGCATGTATCAGACCCAGACCCTACCGGCCTACATCATTGACTGTTGTGGGTGGGGGGGGGATCGAACGCACACTGGACTTACAGAAACAAACCCAGGATGGAAAGAGTAACAGAGACCATTTCCACATCTCCCCATTAACTTCAACACGAGAGAAAGAGAGAAATGGGGTTTAACGTCCACTCGACACAAACTAAATCATTTTGGGACTAACATATGGTTCAATTTATTGATATAATCCGCTTGCGTGAAGGGGTCTTTAGCAGGGGAGGAAAACTACTAGAAGACCTGGGCAAAACCCACACGGTTGAACAAACGCCCCTATTCCTTGTCACAAACAACAGGCGGGGAATCAAAACCACGCCAGTTGACTCAATGACAGACTTTATGATACATTGCGAAAACGCTAACCATTCGCCCCCCCCCCCCCAACTCGCCCCCCCCCCCCCCAAACATCAAGGGACAAGGGATCATAACTGAACTACATGTACTCCATAAATAATTTGATTTCAAGGACCAACTTACAAGTTATTTTAGGTAATATAATTTTATCTATAACGGATGGTATTATTCTGGTATCTTCATCTGAACGATCTGGTGTAATATCGTCTTCACCACGGCAACCAAATAATATTAACGAATTATACCACTCCATTTCTTCAAAATCTACAGAAATCTGTGAAAATATAACAATTATATCAGGAATAAGGTTTGGGGTTGAAAAGAAATATTTTAGAACACATAGAAATTTAAAGTCTTTTTCCGATTTTTTATCAAAGGTTGGGTCCAGACACAATCTGATAAAACTACAGATCTATATTTCGTTTCCTTATTTTATACTTTCGATGTCCTGTACTACATGAAGGTCTGACGAGCGACACTTGACCCTATGACGTCAGACTCTGAACATTAACTGCGGTTCAATATTAACCAGAAATATGGATAATTGTGAGTTTGTTTATTATCGTAACTGTAACAATCAAGGCCACAGTGTTTTTAAAATGAGGTTTTCTTGCCTCGTAAAGTAATATGACTGAAATTTTCAGCATATTCTCTTTACATTATCTATATCTTAACTATTATAGTGACAACTGTCAGCTCTTTATTCTTCAATAATGCTGCTTTAATTCGATTTCCATCTGTCTGGGGTTATTTGACGTGCACAGCAATGTGTACACAGGACCTCGGTTTTCCGTGCCATCTCAATGACTATACTTTGTGCCTTGCCAAGCACTTGGTTGTACACCACTGAAGGGGGAAAAATCCCAATACACTTTCTCTGTTAACACAGGAATCGAACACAAGACTAACATATGGTTCAATTTTACTTCAATAATAAGGTGGGAGGAAACCAGGACACAGAGAAAACCCACAAAGTTGGAGGGAGTGAGAGAAATGGGGTTTAACGCCAACTCGACACAAACTAGGTCATTTCTGGACTAACATATGGTTTAATTTTATTTCAATAATTTGCTGGCACGTAGGGGTCTTTAGCAGCGGGAGGAAATCAGGGGACCCGGAGAAAACCCACGAGATTGGACAGACGACTCTACTCCAGGTCACGTATAACCAGGGAATCGAAACCACTCAATGACAGGCCTTATGATACAGCGCGCACGTGCTAACCATTCAGCCATCCAACTCCCATGAATAATAAAGTGGGAGGAAACCAAAAGGCACAGAGAAAACCCACAAAGTTGGGAGAGGTGACATACCTTAAGAGGATTCCAATCAACCAAAGCTAGTCGTATAAAAGGATTAACAAGCTTCGGTATACACAGTCCGATATAAGCTTCACGATAATTATCTTCATAACGAAACTTCCATTTCTCAAATTGTTTTCTAACACTGTCCAGTTTACTGTAGTCATCGATCGTATCTTCAAATAATCTTTCTGTACCTTTTATAATATCATCTAAAATATAAAAACATGCTTGATTTACATAAATAATTTAACAGGAACTGCCATGGACTCTCAGAACAGTTCTTAACAATAAAGGGACAAAGCGTCTGGGAATACTTATATTTAGGAAGGATATTTTGGGGTGAGAATTAGGGGTATTACTGTGCCGTAAAAGGGACCATGCTTCTGGGAATATTTATATTTAGTAAAGATATTTTGGGGTAAGAATTAGGGGTATTACTGTTTCTAAAAGTAAATGGAATGTATTTAACAGTACACAAGTTTTTACTGTTGACAAATAGTTATTGTTAAAAGATGGGAGGTGTTCTCTTGGAATGAGCTGTACGTTCTATTTTATTATTACGAATGTTAAAAAATTGTGGGTGTTCTCTTTGATGGGTGTTCTGTTCAAACATTATGGGTGTTCTGCTTAAAATATGTGGATGCTTAAAACAGTTGAATATCTCAAAGTCCACAAAAATAATATCTTGTAAAAATTCTTCTCAGGCGTCTGTACTGTTCTTTCCAGTTTTTTTTATTTTTACGACCAATTTTTCATTTGTGTTCACACAGGAACGTGACATAGTCTTTCAAGAGTCACTCGACTTTACTTAAATAGTTAGTCAACACGGTCATTTCATCAAACTTCAAGTCTCTTCAACAAAAGTCTTTCAATTCATCATAATAATGATGCCTGTGCAGTCTAAACGATGAAATCTAAAGAAGTCTTCAGATAAATCACATCATCAGTTTTTAGGGATCCGCTAGACATGATCCTGAATTCTCTAAAACAAAGGTCTTATTACTGCACATGTATCTGATATAAGTAATGATGCCTGTGCAGTTATAAAAGGGAGAAATATTTTGTAATAACCCTCCAGGTGTAGAAGACATGTAAAGAAAGCCACCTTTCTCAACCACGAATTTAGAAATTTCAGATTGATTTTCTTCGTCGTCTGACGACAGACCATCGTGGTGTCCAAATATATTCTTCGATTCTCTGGCTCTTCGTCTTCGTGACCTGTAAAAATGGGAGATAAAAAAAAAAGCATTTTAAAAAAATGTTTACATGCTGCATTCAGGGCCCCCAAAATCAGTTCTAATAAAATGGTGTATTTATAATTTTATTATGTTGTAAATGTTTGTGCTAAAAAACATATCTTTCTACCGTACTGACGTACAAATAACATTTGCAGGGTTCCAGGGGCCCCAAAATTAGTTCGAAAAATTTGTTCTACTTATAATTTTATTTATTATTTTGTATACTGACATACAGAGAGAGAGAGAGAGAGAGAGAGGGGGAGAGAGAGAGTGAGAGAGAGAGAGGGGAGGAAGAGAGAGAGAGAGAGAGAGGGGAGGAAGAGAGAGAGAGAGAGAGAGAGAGAGAGAGAGAGAAAGAGAGAGAGAGAGAGGAGGTTTAACGTCCACTCGACACAAACTAGGTCATTTCGGGACTAACACATGGTTCAATTTTATTTCAATAATTCGCATGTGCTTAGAGGTCTTTAGCAGTGGGAGGAGATCGTGGACCCGGAGAAAACCAACGAGGTTGGACAGGCGATACTGACATACAAATTCCATTTGTGTGAGTATGACAGACAATGACCAGAATATGTCCCCTTGTTGATGTACAGGCCCCCAGTGAAATATTCAGCTAGGGCCCCATTCAAGCTAAATCTAGCCACGCCTCTGTAATTTTTAAAACTATTTTTAGACAAGATCTTACCGTCTTGCTTCTCTTTCAGCAACTCTACGTTGACGAGAATGTTCTTCTTGTGTTTCCATGACAACCTGATGTTTCTTATCTAAAATCAATCGGAGAATTAGGATTACAGACATGAACCTGTCTACAGAATATTTGTAACATCTTTTAGTTCTTCAAAGAAATAATACTGTGACAAACTAAACAATCAAATTTCTACAAGAATTGATGTGAAATTATTCAAATAAACTTGGAACTGGTCATATTTAAAAAAAACAAAAAAAACAAACAAACAGATGGCAGAAACAAACAAATGGCATGGGTTTGATAGATTCGACTAATGTTGACTTCAAACAGACTAGGTCTTCATCAAATTTTCTTTTGGTGTCTATCCAAGAAATTTAACTTCTAGACTGGAGTGATGGAATTATTTTGTAGGATTTTATCCAGCTTTGTAAATGTTTTACATAATCCAAGCTTGCTAAAAGGTTTTAATCCAAGCCCACTATCAAGTTTTAATCCCGGCCAACTAACAAAGTTGATCATTTTTGAAAAAAAAAAAAAAAAAAAAAAAAAAAAAGGAGCAAATGTCTTGAAAATTAAAGACAAAATAAATATATGCTGCTGAAAAAAAATTACATGTTGATTTAAAATGTTGTGACATAGTGAATGACATGAGATAACATGTCATGGCATTGTGACGTCAAGAAATACCGACTTGTCATATAATCTTGACACTGATCTCTGACATCTTGCTGTCGTCTCTGTAAAAGTATATCAGCACGTTGACGGAGGATGTTGTTCATTCTGGTTTCAAAACTGTTGATTGTAGGAACCTGTATTGAAAATAAAAAAAAAACCTGTTAAAATTTGATCTTTTCAGAACATTAAAATGATGGTGAAGATGTAATAAATGGGACAATGATGAAAATGATGATCATGTCTAATTAAAAATGCAGATTTTGGTGAAAATACTGATGATTTTGATGAAATAATGCTGATTTTGATGAAAATACTGATGATTTTGATAAGAATAATGCTGATTTTGATGAAAATACTGATGATTTTGATAAGAATAATGCTGATTTTGATGAAAATGATGATGATTTTGATAAGAATAATGCTGATTTTGATGAAAATGATGATGATTTTGATAAGAATAATGCTGATTTTGATGAAAATGATGATGAAAAAATAATGCTGATTTTGATGAAAATGATGATGATTTTGATAAGAATACTGATGATTTTGATGAAAATGATGATGAAAAAATAATGCTGATTTTGATGAAAATAATGATTTGGATGAAAATAATGAAGATCATGGCTACCGGTAATTAAAAGATGATGTTTATGAAAAAAAATCATTTTGAAGAAAATGATGATTTTGAAGAAAATAATGATTATTCTGATAATAATGATGATTATGACAAATTAAAAGAATGAATAACATTGTAATGGTCCTGATGATGAAAATGATGAAATAATGATGATTATGACATATGTTCAAATCAAAATAATGATGATTATGATAGATGTTCAAATCAAGATGATGATGATGACTAATGAAACTAATGATGATGATGCACTACAACTCGGGTATCATGTTCAGAACTGTTTACTTTCACTAGAAGTATTGTGTAATTAAATAGTTTGTGAATTACTCAACACCACTAGTAAACAGTTGTAAACCCAACACTCATTATCTAATCTAGACGGACCATTTAAACTATGCAACACCAGGAAAAATGATGACCGTGTCTTTATTATCCCAGTCGGAGCAGAACAGTAGGACGTCAAACCCGATTGGAACAATTTGCTAACAATGGAATGAAACTAAACATTAAATACAGAAACTCTTGGTAAAACAATGCAACTAAATGATACCCAAGTTGTAGTGATGATGGAACGATGATGATGATGATGGTTTTCAAGTCTAAAGCAGCTGAAAGAAGATAAAGTAAGAGAGAGAAATGGGGTTTAACTTCCACTCAATACAGACTAGGTAATTTCAGGACTAACATATGCTACAATTTTATTTCAATAAATTGATTGAGTGCAGTCTGTGGAAGTCAGGACTCTGAAAAAAAACCCCAACAAGCTTCTGATCAAAATGACTTATTAACAGACATGTTCGACAACCCAACCCTCTGATTCTCTAAATTCTTCCCATCCCTCCGTATTCTCCCAATCCCTCTGAATTCTCCCAATCCCTCTGAATTCTCCCAATTCCTCTAAATTCTTCCCATCCCTCTGAATTCTCCCAATCCCTCTAAATTATTCTAGCCATATCTTTAATCCTCTTCATTTCTCGAATACTCCTCATCCCTTTAAACTCTACTTAATATTCCGAATCCTCCCTGATCGATTTATCTCCATTCCTTTTAATTCTTACATTCTTCCTCATCCTTCTAAACTCTCCATATACCTCCTAAGTCACCCTTTCCAATTCTCCATATCCCTTCCAAAGTCTCCCCATTCCTTTTATTCTCCCCATTCCCCTAATAGTTATAAATTCTCCCTATCTGTATGAATTCTCCCCATCCCGCTATGTTTTCCCATCCTCTAAATTCTCCCCATCCTCTAAATTCTCCTTTCCCCCCGAAATTATCTGTATCTCCTAAATTCTTCCCATCCTCTAAATTCTCCCTTCCCCCGAAATTATCTGTATCTCCTAAATTCTTCCCATCCTCTAAATTCTCCCTTTCCCCCGAAATTATCTGTATCTCCTAAATTCTCCCCATCCTCTAAATTCTCCCCATCCTCTAAATTCTCCCTATCCCTCTAAATTCCTCCTGCACAAGGCTTCCTATTAAAGCCTCACTTCTCTGCCAGTTAAATCTATGACCCACCTTTTCATTAAGACATTCGACCAAGTCGCGAACATACCCCCTCATTTCCTGGAAAAACTTGTACTGTTTCTCCAACACCGGAACCTTTTCCGTGCACTCTTCCATTTCCTTCTCCGTATCCTCGACATCGTGAACCAAACGGTCTAATTCCAACTTGTGGGTTCGATAGACAGTATCCAATTCATTCATTCTTTTTAAAAAAAAAAAAAAAAAAAAATTACAATAAACAATTCGAAAAACTACAAAATTGTGAAATTGAATCTCTGAAAAATGACAAAATTGTGAAATTGAATCTCTGAGGGATTATCAGTACAATAAATTTCATTGAATATTTACAAAGAAATAATGAAATGACAATTTGCCAACATTTGGTATATAACCAGAGAGAGATGGGGTTTAACATCCACTCGGCACAAACTAGGTCATTTTGGGACTAACATATGGTTTAACTTTATTTCAATAATTTTGTTTTCACGTAGCGGTCTTTAGCAGTGGGAGGAAACCGGAGGCCCTAGAGAAAACCCACAAGGTTTGGACAGGCGAACCTACTCCTTGTCACTTACAAGCGGGGAATCAAAACATGCAACTTGAATGACAGATTTAATGATTTGAAACGCAGTCCTAAATCACACGGCCACCCAAAATAAAATAAAGATATAAAAATGGGTGAAATTATTTTTTATGCAATCTTTTGTTCTTTAAAAATTCTTACCTCTCCTGTAGCCTCTTTCTGATTGATTCGATCGTGATATTGGACGAGTCCTTCCCCCTCATTAAAGATGCAAATGGTTTAAACTGATTGGTCAATGGAACCACGTTACCCGTGGCAACACTATTTAAATTATTCATGTTATAGTTAATTATGGGTTCAGGAACGGAGTTAGAACTATTCTGTTCGTAAGTTAGCGCTTCTTGACCAGGCATCAACGCTGCTTTTCTGATCTGCTGTGCTTCCCATTCTCGTTCGTGGTCACTTTCTTCATCACTTCCTGTAATTATAATAATGTGATTCCGTCATCTACATCCTAGACTATTGTTTACCAAAAACTAAGTCAACCATGTTTTCTAATTAGCCAAACATCCATAATAAATAGATGTGCATACAAAATTTCTTGAAGGTAATGAAAACTGAATCAATTGTACATCAATCTCAGCCCCAGAGATAAGTTTACCCTTCGTTTATCTCTCGTAAAACTTGTCAGACATTCCTAAGCTCCGCACCCAGGATTTGTTAGAATGAAATGCTGCCGATTTCCCGACAATGAGGCATCGGTGTGTATTACATATTAATGATCCTTGGAACATTTTCCACATTTCATTTGAAAACAACCGATTTGATGATTTAATGGGAACTATTTTTAGCACACAATGTGAATGATTCGGCTACGTGAAATTTCTCAAGAAACAAGAGTTTGAGCCGCCATCTTGGATCAAGTCCTACCTTTCTGCACCAACTGGGCTAATGAAGACATCCTGTGCATAGTGCAGTGAGCTATGAAGGGTGGTTCCCCCTGCTCCTATTACGCTATCCTGCCGTCAAGTGCTTTGTAACGTGAACACAGGAACAATGTATTTCGCTTGCCAAGCCTTCCGTCCCTCAACCACAGCAGAAATCCCCATGGAACTTTTTTGGGCAACGCCAGGAGAGAAACTGAGCCCTCATTACCCACTCAATGCGCTAACTCACTGAACCATAGTGACCTCCCCTTTCTGATCAATGTGTAAATATGAATTGTGGGATATAAGGATTGCCGTAGGACATATTAAATATTTACCATGTTCAGCTGCTAAGAAATCATCTCTCATTCTCTGACGTTCTCGATCAGCATTATTGATGGTAAAATCAACCCTTTCTTCTTCTTCATCATCACTTCGATCATGTTCATCATCCCTAAAAAAAAACCCAAAATTTATAATATCGATTGATTTTCGTCAAAATTGGGTTGACATGATGTGTTAGTGATGGGGTTGGGTTGGGTGACTGATGGTCTAAATTGAGTTGACATGATGTGTTAGTGATGGGGTTGGGTTGGGTGACTGATGGTCTAAATTGAGTTGACATGATGTGTTAGTGATGGGGTTGGGTTGGGTGACTGATGGTCTAAATTGGGTTGACATGATGTGTTAGTGATGGGGTTGGGTTGGGTGACTGATGGTCTAAATTGAGTTGACATGATGTGTTAGTGATGGGGTTGGGTTGGGTGACTGATGGTCTAAATTGAGTTGACATGATGTGTTAGTGATGGGGTTGGGTTGGGTGACTGATGGTCTAAATTGGGTTGACCTGATGTCTTACTTCTATTAGTAATGATAGAGGGTTGGGTGGCTGATGGTCTAAAGCCTCAACACTTTAGATCATGGAGTCAAATGAGAGAGAGGGAGAGAAATGGGGTTTAACGTTGAAAGAAACTAGGTCATTTTGGGACTAACATATGGTTAAATTTTATTCCAATGATTCGCTTGCACGTAAAGGTCTTTAGCAGTGGGAAGAAACCAGAGGACACAGAGAAAAAATTGAATTGAACAATTGAACAATGTTAGTCCCGAAATGACCAACTGGACCAATCTGCCCAGACACCAACTCAATTCTAACTGTCAAGGGGTACACATGTACACTGGCGCTTATCTTTTCGGCAATCTGTCTTCCACCACTGACCTGGGGAAACCTGGGGAGCTTTGTCGGCTAATATCGTGATCAAACTATTGATCCTTACTCAACGAATCACCATAGCTACCAACTCCTCGTTAAGACTGGATGGTTGGTTGTTATAATTAACTTCGTTTGGCACGGGTAGGGCTGGGTATCGATAGTGATTTTTACTATCGATAATCGGCAATGAAATGTCGGTTGATAATCGATAGTATCGAAAACAAACTTATTCTCATGGTCGTCATCAAGACTGGATACAGAGTAAGTTCAAAGTTCAAAACCATACGAAGTTGCGAAAGATCGTTTGCTCCTGTCTAAGGAGATTTATTTGGAAAACATTAATAAAACTTGTTATATCATGTATATATATACGTAAATTGATGTTGTTTATTATTAAAATAATGCAGCCGTGGTTCCGAATGAAGAAATATCGTAAATAATTATGTTAAGGGACCAAAATGAACTTGTTCCATTTCAAAACATTGCGTACGTGTGCGCGCGCGAAAATATCAATATGGCAGACGAATTCTGAAGCTTGCAAAGGGAAATAACTCTAACTTTATTTACACATCCGGGTATCTCCGATTTAGCGATATTCAACAATAATTTCTTCAAAACTAAAGTAACGTTTCAATGAGAGTGAATTTATGAAAACGGCTGTTCAATAAGCAGTCACAATTTTGTTATGTGTTACATTGATACTTGATAGTAATTAAAGTGAGCGGTGTATTATGATTAACTGAAAGAAAACATTGACATTTCAGACGCAAGAAAAAAGGCGAAGAGCGATAATCGATAGTAACCCACCGCTATCGATAGTGCTTTTCTGGGCCGTCCAATCGATACTATCGATTTATATCGATATTTTACCCAGCCCTAGGCACGGGATAATAACACTTCATTAAATAAACAAACTATTTGTCTACCTGACTAGCCTGGATTCTTTTTTTTTCTGTGCAGCTTGTTCGGACTCTTCTAGAGGTAAAAAATCATCGTTTCTTGCCTGTTGTCGTTGTTTACGAATCATGTGAATAGTTTTAGCATCAGGAATTTCACCTCCTATAAACAACAGAAATCAACATGGAGTAATTTGCTGTCGAAATCTAAAAAAATCTAAAAAAGTTCTGTCTCATGTCCACTAAACAATGGCTGCCAATTTGAAAGAAATCGAATAAGAACTATTGTACAAAGTAGGCAAGAGGGAGGGTTAAACCTGTTTATCTTTGTTTCATCAATTTGATTATTGGGGGGTGGGGGTAGAGGAGTCTTAAGACGGACTAGTGTACTCTCTAACATGTACAAGAATCGAGTTGAAACCTTAACAAATGCTTCAATTTTAGACACAAGGCCGTCTAGCATTCCAACTTGTTTACGTATAAAAACAAACTTACTCCCTAACATGTACAAGCTACATATTCAAACTTTAACAAATGCGTCAACTTTAGACACAAGGCCACCTAGCATGCCAACTCGTTTACGTATAAAAATAAACTTACGAGCTAACATGGCTCTAAATGTATGTTGTTCATCTTCGTCGTCGCTACCTTCTAAATTCTCTGCATCATCACCATTCATGGTACGTAACTCTTCCCTTAGTTGCTACAAGTAAATAATATGCTGATTCATAAAATCATTTTAATAAGGAAATGTAATGGGGTTTAACATCTGCACTGAGTAGGCTACGTCATACAGTGTGCTATGAGAAAACCTTCGCCTGAACCAGGGGTTTAATGTCCTACTGTTTTGCACTGAGTAGGCTAACGAAGACGGGAATATGTCATACAGTGTGCTATAAGGAAACCTTTGTCTGAACAGCCTACTCTTATCGAACTAGCGTTTGATCTGGCATAGCACAGAAGTAACAAGACTCTGAAACAAGAAGTGGTATTCAATCGCCACCAGGCCTATGTTACTCCCCAGTCCAAGCTACCCCTATACACAAAATTTCGGGACAGCTTCAGTGTAGCTGTCAACCCTGAACAAACAAACGACAGTCACAAATATTAGTTTCGATATTCAGCTGTCAAGGGTTCTTTTACGTGCACGTTAATGTGTACACGGGACAATTTAATAATTACAGTAATTACGTCACGGTGAATGACAATCATCAGTTGAACGTTCCATCATTCCTGATTTCACAGTCAAATGTCATTATGTTTGGACTACTTTTACATTGACGTACAACAGATGTCTCACTCACCGAATACAAAGAATTACAAACCTTTAATTTTTCGTCCGCTTTATCCTTGCTTTTATCCTTAATGTCTTGCTCAGAGTCGCGATCTTTTCTCGTTGAACCTTGATTAATCTCCTTATCATCCTTTTCAACAATCTTCTCTTTCTTCAGTTGCTTCGCTAATCTACGACTTTGAGTAGATTTCTTTACTTTAAAAAATTCAGTATCCGCTGAAATAAGAAAATGTGAACTATGTTTTTATTCCAAATGGATACCAACTATGGGCTAATAAATACAGGCATACGCCATAAAGTGAGTGAAATTTTGTCAGACAGCGGCATTACAGCCCACTCTGAATTCTAATGTTTTTATCTTTACATCACAGTAGGGGTTTCAGGTCAAAGTTTCAAATGACAGAAAAAAAAAAATTAAAATTATTTTGTGAAAATATTCATAAAATGCTACCCAAATTTGTTTATTTCATCAAAATATTCTAATTAGATCCAAAGTTATGGAATTTTAAAATCCGAGATCGACGTCAATAATGTAATCAAAATGCTCAATACCAGTCAATGCGTGGCATGGCACCAAAGTGAGTGCTTTTCAGTCATATTTGAGTGACGTCATAAGCGGTATTTTCCCTTCAGAATCGCTAGTACCAATTTTAAAACTGAAATCCGCACGTTATTGTCAGCTAAAATTTATTAAAATCGTAATAATTTAAATGATAATATGTCAAATATTTATAATCTGGATGATACATGTACCTCAAGAAAGTTTTTTTATATTTAGTCGAAATTTGGCAATTTTCAGTCATCAAAACAGATAAATCCCATTTTCTCCGGGTCTAATTGTCCGACCACGTGGTATCAACAAGCATAATAATCACAAAAATGTTATCTATCGTTTGATTGGTTCTATATCAAAATCCCCCGGTAACTAAGGTGCGGATTCACCAATGAAGTGAGTCATAGCAATGGAAAATCTCAGGCCGCGTGACGTCAGAGCGGTATTTTCCCGCGAGCGTCTCATGTAAACAAACGGTAATTTCGCTTACATTTCGGTAATTTTTTAGCCTTAATCTTTGCAGATATTGAGATTGATATTAAACAATTGCAATACAATTGCTAGTAATGCATTTTCATAAAAAATAGTAATTCAGAATCGTAGATTGAAGTGGGGTATATTTCAGCCTCTGGCTGTCCGATTTCACGCTAAAGTCACGTGACCTGAAACCCCTAATCACAGGCTTACAGTTAAAGTTGTCAAAATCTAAGAGATAAATGTATTTGGAAATGAAATCAAATCTGGGTCAAGAAGATGGGCATAGCCAAATCATGCAGGTTGCTATGCTAGGGGTATCTAACTCAACTGTAAACCGAAACCCCTGTAGGCTACCTGCATTAAGTCAGTCAGAGAGAGAGTGCAATGGGATTTAACGTTCACTCAACTCAACTAGGTCGTTTCGGGACTAACACATGGTTCAATTTTATATCAGTAATTTGCTTGCACGTAAGGGTCTTTAGCAGTGGGAGGAAACCGGAGGACCCGGAGAAACCCCATTTGGTTGGACAGGCTACCCTACTCCTTGTCACGTACACCCGGGGAATCGAAACCACGCCAATTAACTTAATCATTAATGACTGTAGATCTTATGATACAGCACGCACGTGCTAACCATTCTGCCATTCAACCAGTGGCAACCACCCTAAGTCAGTCGAAACAGCGCAACACATCTTCTATTGACTTATTGTTTAGTACAAGCATTAGGATTATCGGGATGAGGCATGTCCACATAGGCCTACGCTGCAAAGTAGATAATGATTATTAGTAAGTATTAATTAATCGAATGCCTGTACTTTGAAGGTCTCCATTAACATAGGACTTTATGAATTATATTCGACCTTCATCAGTGTTAGATTTCAAATTAGGGATTATACAACATTAGATACATTTTACTTAATGTTTTAATTATTACCATCTTCGTCATGGTCAAAACTGAGTACAGTCGGAGCTGTGATCGATTTTTCCTTGGCGCCTTTCTTTTTCTTCACTTTTTTTACATTATTTACTTCATTTTTCTGTTCAACTTCTATGGGTTTATCGATTGCCATCTCGTCGACATCTTCCAGGAAAGGGATGCATTCTTTTTTCTTCGGAAAAGAGTCCCCATTCTCTTCATCTGAATTATTTTCAGACAATTTTTTTCTAAAATTCCGTTTTGGCTTCTTGAACATGCCCGACATTTTGTAGCTCACGTCGGAAAACGAACATCGCGAGATCTGCTACACTCGGCAAACCTCGGCTAATAGGTCAGCAGATGTTCAGTTAGTCGCAGTTAGAATACAGATGTGACGCCATCCTTTGATGTTGGCGTAATTTCCAATAATGTACGGGCAACTTGTTAAACGTTCATTATCTATACTAGATGAAATATTGGACTCGCGTGACGTATTTCATTGAAAAGCATGCGCGGGACAGTGTCTGTATTTTACATGTTATGTGTAGGCAGGCATGGTCGAGTGCAAGACGAAATGATTTTCTATCTTATTAATGTACATGTTCTCATTGTTTAAAGGGCAAAATGTAAGAAAGGTCATTGGCCTAATTTTCAACCCTTTTGAAATAAAGTAATTATTATTATTAAATGAAATGGGGTTTAACGTCTTACTTTTCTGCTCCGAATTGGGATAATTAAGACGGGCATGCGCCATACACAGTGGCGGTGCCTAGGGGGGGGGGGAATTTGCCCCCTCATAAATCTGGTCTGTCCTCTGTTTGCCCCCCCCCCCCAAAATAATTTTAGAAAATAAAAAAAAGTATTAGTGATACGTTTCGGTAGTCAATACCTTGAACGGTAATTAAATCCCACATCCCCACTCAGTCATAGACTTGCATGTTATAGAGTCTGCGTGATTTCTTACCAAGCTCATCCTGCTGTAAACCTACTATAAACAATAACACGTGAACCACTTGAGGAGAAGTCAAAGTTTTTGGGTATAGGTTCAACGCGGCGAAAATATGACACATCCCTCTTTTTGGATAAGCTGTTGATTTGGCAACGAACAGTAGGCTATCTGCATGGCCAGCTCTATTTATCTCGACGACCAGTGTCTGAAATGATGCATTTCCGACAATCTATTTAACAAAATATCGTGGCGAAAATGTTCATTCACTTTGGGTCACTCACTCCGTCCGTTTGACACTTTCCTCTCTGGTCAGATAAACTAGTGATTTGGCAACAGGCGGTGTAAGCTCTGTTTATCTCGACGATCAATGCCTGAAATACTGCCAGACTGCATTTCGGGAGCTACGTTGAGGTTCGCAAGTCCGTCTATTTGACATTTTCCTCTCTGGGATCGGATAAACTAGTGATCAGACAACAGACGGCATCTGATCAGCTTTATTTATCTCTACAATCGGTGCCTGAATATTGTTAGACAGCATTTCGGGCAGTCTATTTTTCAAAATTGTCTGGAGGAGGTCCCCCATACCCTCCATAAGGACTCCCTTATTTGGCGCTCGTGAGTGGGCTTCGGATTCGCAAGTCCGTTCGTTTGACACTTTACCTCAACGATCAGTGCCTGAAATACTGCCAGGCTGCATTTCCGGCAGCCTGTTTTTCAAATTTTCTGAGGGATCCCCCATATTTAAAACTCGTGCCTTTGCCCCCTTAACCTTGGACTTTGCCCCAGCTGTTGCCCCTCCAACCACCGACGGCTGGCGCCGCCACTGGCCATACAGTGTGCTATGGGGGAAATCTTGCCCGGACAGCGGCACTACGGCCTACTCTTATATCGAATTTCAACTGTCAAGCGATCTTTTACGTGCACGCCAATATGTACATGGGACCTCGGTTTTTCGTACCATCCGAACGACTAGACAGTTGTCCTTGTCAGGCCCTCCGTCCCGCATCACTGACAAGGGGGAACCACGTACGCCGGAAAATCTGGATGAACTTTCTCGGCCGTAGCGCCGCTGTCCGGGCAAAATTTCCCTCATAGCACACTGTATGGCAAATGCCCGTCTTCATTAGCCTAGTTTAGGAGCAGAACAGTAGGACGTTAAACCCCATTTCATTTCATTTCATTTCATACTTCGAGAATAGATCTCTGCTCTTAATGGCCGCCATATCCAAAAATCGGAATGATGTTTTGTAATGCGGTTTTACTCTGTTTTACATCTGTTAAAGATACACAGACCAAATAAACCATTTTAATTTCATTGAATGGAATCTGAATCTAAAATACTTCCCAACATCCACGAAGTATGCTTAGTGTTTTCGACTAAAATCGTCGATTTAGGACTTAAAATATCGGTCAACTAGCTCAGTGCCTGTTCTCTGGTGGGGCTAACTGTACACAGACAGCACAAGTTTAGTATGACACCCTCCACTTAGCTCCGACTTGGGCCATGGACGCACAGACTAGGTGAATGTTGGAGGAGGGGGCGGGGGCAGATCTGAAACTCCAGTTGACAGATGGTTGCCAGTGATCCAGTGTCGTGCCCCCAGTAAAATTTGTTCCTGCTATTACATCCCGTGAAAACAACAACTGGTATAATCTAATGTTTGACCTGAATATCAATCGTTTACTGAATCACTGTCCATGGATCGCAGGGGGAACATTTTCGAAAAATTAACGAACGAAATCGCGTTTTCCTGCTATTCCAACAACTTTAACGTGGTCCTATTATGATTACTTAGGTGGCTGACCTGAATTCCAAATATCAAATTCATTGTTTACCTGGATGTCAAAAAAGTCAGATTGACCGACAGTTAAAATGACACCGCAGTTACAAGCAAATGATAGGATAATTTTTGAACTACACGAACGACAACTTAATTATCCCACTAATTACTGTACCTTGAATAATTAAATCAATTAATGTAATATTTGACCGAGGTGATCAGGTTGATAACGACCGTGTCAAAATTTCATAATAGGCCTACCAATATTTGATAATAGGCCTACCAATATTGTAAGTGGTGATAATAAATGAACAATTGGTACAATAAACAGTAATTATATTTAATATCTAATCCATGTACTTCCTGTCCAATTACTATAAATGCGATACTGAAACAGGGTTATCGCTAAATGATCAGGTCAGCTCAATTTTTCGTCATAGGTCACGAGATGTAAACATGGCTAGATGTAACCCTGGACCTATAGCCACAATGCTAACCCTAACCTACAATCTCGCCAACAGTCGTTCCGTTCGTTTGTAGAGTTTTACGTCCACTTCCACCTAAGGTGATGATATGTAGACAATACGCCAACAGTCACGTGCCCTAACTTTTTATACACCTCATCTACCTTGACGAAAATTGCGATGGCCTTAACAAACAGATTTAGCCACTGAAACAGTTTATTTTTTATTTTGTGTTTTTACCATTTAATTAAATCAACCTGTTCATAATATCATATTGTAATGTATTGGACGTTAAATTTGTAATAAACAACAAGAAGCCCATAATCAACTCTCTAGAACGCCCGGTGGCACAGATTTAAACCGATTGAAATTTGATCGCCATTTAATAATTTAATTTAAAAATGGAGAAGCATGGCTGATTCTTGATTTACAAGTAACGTTGTTTCGATAATAAACAATATTTGCCATATCTTGTCAAAACTTCAAACAGTGATAACTTGGCCCAGAATAAAGGAATTTGAATGAAATTCTCAATATCTTATTTTTGAATTATCTTTACTGGAAGTAATATAGCAAGAACAGTGAGCTCTTTATTTAAATATTACATAATGAATCTATTTAGCTAAAGTAATTGACGTGGATATAGTCGTTGGTACAAAACGTTTCTGCTGTCTTTCACGAAGAGTTCTGAATGTATAAAAAAAGTTGTCATTAGTTGTCTCCCTTTACACCCCTAACCTCGCTTTCATTATAGCGAAATGGTTCTCCTTCAGTAAAGAGTTAAAGAGACGGATAGCGAACAAAATTGATGGGATTTTGATGAAATTTGGACCTTACTAGGATTCGGAAGGACATTCAAAGGTAAGTTATGTAATTATTAGTTTTCGGCGCTTGTAGAGGGTTTTGAGGACTTATTATTGACCCAAAATTGCAAATTATATTGTCTGAAATGTCAGAAGAGTGGCAATGAATGGAAACGTGTGCCGAGCCTGATATGATGCCTGCAAGTCAAAGACAAAAACCAGTGCCGACAAAAAGTAGAAAAATGCAAGTAAATAAATAATTTTTGGTGAGGTGTCATAGCAATCATGTTCAAAAATCATTCAATTAACCATTTTAATCATAATATTCATAAATATATATAGCAGACGAATTTATCGAAGAAAGGGATAGGATAAAGAAATCATGAAATGTCGGTCATTAAATAGGCAAATAATAGAATGGGATGTTGAACTCCTAGATAGGCCTAGCCTGAAATTACTTCTGAAAATAGGACAAAAGAACAAATTAAGGTTGTGTCATCATTTGACCATAAGTGATCCATAGTCCTAATAAGACAGGTTTTTTTTTACATGATATTAGACAGTTATTTTATGGGGATAGTCTAAATGTTGGACAACCTCCATCAGTCAATGACATTAGGCAGCTAGCCAACTGAAATATTGGTTTCATAACACTGGTAATAATGGTCCTGAAGCAAGTGGTTGACTCATAGGCCCCAGTTTATTGTTTAAATTTGATATTTTTTTACGAAGTACGAAGCCCTATTCGTAGTTCGTACTGGTTGCGGAACCTGTCAAAAACGAAGTACGAAGCCGTGTTCGTACGTCGTACTTCGTACTGGTTGCGGAACCTCTCTAATAAATTTAATGAATTTATAATTCATAATATTTGTCATTTTTGGAGTTATGTGCGGTAATGATTTCATCTAGATCATATTGATTATTTCCTGTTGGTGTATTTTTTATTTTGGTCGACATAATTCTATTCACTAAATATTATATTTATTTAATATACCGGTAACACAAGCTGGGCTGAATAACAGACCAAAGGGCCATTATGAATGTAATTGAACACAGAATGCTCTCTGACTCATCAGTCATTTAAATTACGGTAGTTTTCACTGACGTTTGTACAGAGATAACAACTACACATAATTTAACAATTTACGTAAGAGCTGGACTGGCAGACATAGAAACGAATGTTATTGAGGGCCTGTGTGTATTATTGCACAAGACTTGCTAGTGATTGATAGTTACACATGAACATTGTATGGGTACATGTAGTTGGTAATTATTTTTCCAGAAAGGTAACTCAGCATGTGAACTTCTCCATTCATGATGAATCAGATTACCTTCCTGTATGTATCATGAGTGGTAAAACACAGAGAGAGAGAGAGGGGATAGTCTCGAATAAATGTATCACATAATATTTATAATGGATTTTTAAATAGAAAATATTGACCTAAAATAGTAGGCCTAAAATAGTAGGCCTAATTAATTCTTACCCCATCATTTACTTAATTCTTAATTCAATATAATTTCTTGACCTAAAAGTAGGATGTTAAACCCCATTTCTTTTCTTGACCTAAATGTATGACAGTTTTTTCAAACATTCCAATGATTTTAATCTATATGACCATAAAAAAGCCCAGACATGTGACAATCACCTGATATACATGTAGGTGATTTCATTTATAGATTGTGATTTCATTTCTCTAATTCATTTTCATTTACCTCCTGATCAAAAACTGTAGGCCCCTACATGAAAATTCACATACTTTTCTTCGATTCTAGACCAAAAAGTCAACAAAAAGGTACCATGCAAAAATGGGGCTGAGGGAGGGGGGCGGATAAAGTATTGCTAGGGTGGATAAAGGGTTGCTAGGGTGGTTAAAGGGTTGCTAGGGAGAAAGAGAGAGAGTAATAGGGTTTAACTCCACTCGACACAAACAAGGTCATTTCGGGACTAACTCATACATGTAGTTCAATTTTATTTCAATAATTCGCTGGTGCGTAGGAGTCTTTAGCAGTGGGAGGAAACTGTAGCACCCGGAGGAAACCCACTAGGCTGGACAGGCGAACCTACAACCGTGGAATCAAACCCGTGCCAGTTGACATAATGACAGACCTTATGATATACATGTAACGCGCACATGCGCTAACCATTCGGTCATCCAACTTCCCTATAAATATAGACAATCAGTTGCATGTAAATGGTAATTATTATTAGTAATAAGTATCTTGAAATAATGCTCTTAATACAATCCATATATGCTTACATTGTTATATTTATTATATAATTAGATTATGAACAATATGGACTCTGTAACTGGCTTAGGCCACACCAAATTGATTTTCAATACCCACATGAATCATGTGAAAGATGTGTTGTTTAAAATTTCTAAACTATAAAAATTTGGAACGAAATTCTTTTGAACAGCACAGCCAGGTACTATTGATCTTTAAGAAAGTCTTTTTTTCTCCAGGAATATGAAGATAATTTTTATACGCCCAATGTCATCTGTATGAAATTGTCTATTAAATGCCCCTAATTACCTACAAAAGAATAAATATGTGACAACTCGGATGATTTAGCTGCTGTGGGCGTATGTTTTGTTGCCTGGCAACCTATCTTTTACAGGTGTGTCCAAAAAACAGAAAGTCAAACTGGTGAAGCCTAACATGGAATTGCTCAATTTGATAATTTGTGATACATGTATGTAATGGGGTTTAACGTCCTACTGTTTTGCTCCGACTGGGCTAATGAAGACAGGCATACGACATACAGTGTGCTATGAGGGAAATTTTGCCCGGGCAGCGACACTATGGCCTACTCTTATATCGAATTCCAACTGCCAAGGGATCTTTTATGTGCACGCCAATGTATACATGGGACCCCTGTTTTTCATCCCATCCAAACAACTAGACAGCTGTCCTTGTCAGGCCCTCCATCCTGCACCACTGACAAGGGGAAACCACATCGGAAAATCCTGATGAACTTTCTTGACTAATGCATGGGTTGAACAGTGAGCCTGCATCTTACTCACTTAGCCACCATGGTTCCTGATAATCTGTTATCAATATTTAAAGTACATACATGTAATAGGTTTACATGTATAGTATGACTCGACTTTTTGATAAGCTTATATAAATATGTAGATTGAGACTCTATTATGACACGGTACATTGTTGGAAACGATTGAACCGTCTCCTCATGTGATGTTATGTATTATAATATCTAACTTTGTTTACATGCCCCACCCACCATATCTAGGATCATTATGACTGACCAGTCACCTGTATTGGTATGAACTTTATTGGTTGCACTATAACAAATAAACACCTTGACTTGGTTAATGGTTCACCTCAGTACAGTAACGTGGCTTAATATATCCAATGTTATTTACATTACCGTAACCTAGTCACATGTTTGACTATGCTGAGAATAAAGGCATCATAACTGACCTACATGTACATGTAGACCTACATGTACTTAATGCTTATTGCTTACAGTTGCTCAGCTAGAAAGAGTAGTAGTTTTACCAGGTACTATTGTTGTGTGTGTACTGTAAATGGGGGTTTAACCTCCTACGGCCTTTCTGCACTAAACCTGGCTAATGGACAGACATGCTATGAAGACAGTGGAGTTGGTTGGTATCTACTGTTTTTTTAGATTCCATTGAGTTCTTTTACATGCATGTCACTCAGTACAGTATGTACACTTGGCTTGGAGTTGTGGTGGAGGGGGGGGTCATCGAGACGTACTATCCCTAGTACCCTAACTAGGTACATGTACCTCTTACAAGTAGCCTAAAAGTATGAGTATTGAGTTCCTTGCAACACCTTGGCCAGTGAAGAGTAGCTGCGCACATTTGATTAAGAGAAATTTAGATCAAATTTAAAGGAATCTGTGAATAAGTTTCTTGTCCCAAATTAAGAGTGAAAAACTGTTAACAAATGTGATTTAACGTTCCACTGCGTACAAACATTGTAATCCCCTTAATGTCAGTCGTCGGGATTATAGTAGTCAAAGATTAGTCAATAAACTAATTGTAAGCTAATCTTTTAACAGTCATTCACTTTAAGATCTAATTAAGTAATTAGTACTAACTTTAAATGCGATAATCCCGGAAATATACAAGCTCGATAATTATTGACAAAACAATGATTTTTATCTGTTTCCATGGACCACATATTCTGATCTGGCATCACACAATATTTTAATCATTTTCAATTCACTGAACAAAAAAAAATATTCCGTCGACTATTATCATAGGAATCGTGCACTGTTATTACCTACATGTATACACACCAGTTTAATTCTTATTCGTTTTAATAACTACTTCGCTACTAAAATGGCACTTGGTTCATTTTGGCGGGGAAAATAATTCAAATGGGCAAATAACAACAACATTGATTAAGACTTCTTTTTTTTAAACATCCGATAATTGCTAATGAATTTTTTTTTTCATGAGTTTAGCCTATGGGACCTTTTGCTACATGTACTATTAAGGACTCTTACAAGTGTATTATTGAAATATATTTTTACGATAAGCATAAGCTAGTCTCGAAATGGCATAGTTAATGGCAAGTGGTTACATTGTTCCCCTCTCTCACTCGGAGTTTAAATGTACACGTAGAAATGTTGTTGTTCATTTCAGTGGGTTTACCAAATTTTATTAGCTGTACTAATTATTTATTATTGATTAAATGAAAGTTAATTGAAGAGACCAGGTGTTGGTTTCGATCGTCTGAAGTAAACCAATAATTATATTTAATTAGACTCTATATTCATCATTTTCTTTGACTTAAACATGACAGATTCATTCATTGTAAGGGTGGTTGGGTTGTCGAATAGTTAGCACGTGCGCACTGTATCATAAGGCCTGTCATTGAGTCAACTGGCGTGGTTTCGAATCCCCGGTTGTACGTGACAAGGAGTAGGGTCATCTGTCCAACCTCGTGGGTTTTCTCCGGGTCCTCCGGTTTCCTCCCACTGCTAAAGACCCCTACGCGCAATTGAATTAAAATTAAACCATATATTAGTCCCAAAATGACTTGTGTCAAGTGCATGTTAAACTACCTTTACCCCTCTTCTCTCTCTTCTCTCATTGCATGAGTCATGTGACTTGGTTTTAATTTTGTACTTGTTGGTGACGGACAAGCAGTGGGATCAATCTGTTCAAACTCGTGGGTTTTCTCAGGGTCAGCCTGTTTCCTCCCACAGAGTAGACTGTAGTGCCGCTGCCCGGGCAAAATTTCCTTCATAGCACAAGTTTGGAGCAGAGCAGTAGGACGTTAAACGCCATTTCATTTCATTTACCTGGTAATGCAAATTGAGATACACTGGACCTTGGTTCGCAGTCCGATCTGAAGGACAGACTAAATGGCAAGCCCCCCCTTCCACCCATCCAGATCCACTGATATCTAAAACCAGGCCGGAAAATGGTGATTAACTTTCTGGACCAAATAAAGGAATTGAATCTAGGATCTCCCAGTTGATGAATCAGCCTCATCCTAACCCCATCCACTGTGTCTCCCAAGGGTGTAACAAGCAATGGCCTAGAATAAAGACAGTATAATTTGTTCTATTGGACTGCCATGTAATATGGTATTGATTTTCTGCTTTGTAAAATGTAAACACTAATCATTTGTTCATTAGGTGTATTTGATTGATTGGGCAACTTGAGCACGATGAACATGTAAAATAAAAACATTTTATGTGGTTAATTTGATTAATGTCGTAGAATGTAATTACATGTAATGTGTAGACACGATACGCTGTTAATTTATTAACATGTACAGGAGTGACATAATTTTATATTTAAATAGCGCTGATAGTTTTAGGAGAATAGAATTAGAAGATGTAAGGATTTCATAATAACATACATGTACAGAGAGAGAATTTAGGTCATTTTAGGTCTAATGTACTATATAGTACAGTTTTATTTTAAAAATTATTTGTATGTAGGGATCTTTAGAAGTGGGATAAACTGAAGAGAATTTACGATATTGAACACACGTCCTACTTGTACATCTTGCCACTTGACTCGATGACAGACCTTATAATGGAAGCCCCTCCTACATATATCCACTTGACTCAATGACAGACCTTATAATGGAAGCCCCTCCTACATATATCCACTTGACTCAATGACAAACCTTATAATGGAAGCCCCTCCTACACCTGTCTCATAAAACATACATCCACTGTACAAAATATACATGTAGGTATATTGTAATGGGTAACACTGTGGAGAGAGAGAGAAATGGGGTTTAACATCCACTCAACACAAACTAGGTCATTTCGGGACTAACATATGGTTTAATTTTATTTCAATAATTTGCTTGCGCGTAGGGGTCTTTAGCAGTGGGAGGAAACCGGAGGACCCTGAGAAAACCCACATGGTTGGACAGGCTACCCTTCTCCTTGTCACATACAAGCGGGGATTCAAAACCACGCCAGTTCCCTCAATGACAGGCCGTATGATACAGCGAGCGCCTGCTAACCATTCGACCCCCCCTCCCGCGTAACATTGTGGACATAGTGATTTAGGCGGACCTTGTGGGTTTACTATGGGTCCTGCTAAAGCGAATAGTGAAATAATATTGATCCGTTTGTTAGTCCACAAATAATCTACATGTAGGTTTTTTTTTGTGTAAACAATATTTTATTTCAGAAATTTATGAAAAGGTATCAGGGAACAGGCAAAGCCTTCGTCACGTTTCTCGCGAACCGACGAATCTGATATATTCTTGAGAATTATGTGTTTGAAATTTGCGTTCTGTTGTTATCTCTGTAGCCATCAAATAATAACATTCATGTAAATTGCATTCCGTGTCTTGATGTATATGTGTGAAATATTCAATCACAAATGAATGATATTATTTGATGTCCACAGATATAACAGGGAACAGGGAAAGCCTAAATATCACCCCTCTATTCAAAATAATTTAGTTTGACTTGACATGAAACATTTTTTCTCTCTGTCCCTGATTTAGCACACAGTCTTTAAGCTAGATCAGTTTTATTTTCTTCTTTCCCCCCACTTGTTGATTGTTGATGTTGACAGAGGTATAGAAGTACATATTGGTGTGATCTTGTACACAAGGTCAAGGTTGTATTATGACCTTTGATACATACAGGTTATTGACTCTGAAAGAGTTCACCAGTTATTCAGGAAGTGTACTCCTGTCTATTCATCAGTGAAAATAATTCTTCGAAATTAAATGTATGTCCAAGAAAATAATAAAATTAGGTCCAAGTAAATAATAAAATTTGTAATTAAGATCCAAAGAAGTGATAATTTAATCAGGTTGGATCAAAGACCATAACTACCCGGTACATGTACTTTTAGATGGAGAGAGAGAGAGAAAGTTTAACTTCCACTCGACACAAACTAGCTCATTTCGGGACTAACACATGGTTCAATTTTATTTACATAATTCGCTTGCGCGTAGGGGTCTTTAGCAGTGGGAGGAAACTGGAGTACCCGGAGAAAACCGACGAGGTTGGACAGGCGACCCTACTCCTTGTCATGTACAACCGGGGATTCAAAACCACGCCAACTGACTCAATGACAGGCCTTATGATACAGCGCGAGCGTGCTAACTATTCGGCCACCCAACCCCCCACTTTTAGATGAAAGACTATGACTATATGTATATTTAGATGATCACTGCAATCATGCACTACATGTATTATCCCCTTGTCAGTAGTGCAGGACGACCGGCCTGACAAGGACAGCTGTCTAGTCATTTGGATGGGTCAAAAAAAAGAGGTCCCATGTACGTAAAAGGCAGTTGGAATTTGATATAAGAGTAGGCCGTAGCGCTGCAGTTCAGGAAATATTTCCCACATAGCTCACTGTATGGCGTATGCCCGTCTCCATCAGCCCAGTTCGGGGCAGAACAGTAGGACGTTAAACTCCATTTCATTTCATTTCATGCACTATCATTTTATGACCTGTCACCTGATTATATCACATGATCGCTTGGGCACAAGCGAATTATTTAAATAAAATTGAACCATATTATTGACCAAGTTTACGTGGAGTGGATGTTAAACACCATTTAAACGAATTATTTAAATAAAATTGAACCATATTATGGACCAAACCTAGTTTACATGGGGTGGATGTTTAAGCCCATCTCTCTCTCTCTCTCTCTCTCTCTCTCTCTCTCTCTCTCAGCAAAAGAGACTTTCAAAATTATGGCAGTTGAATAACACTCTTACAATTTTTTTGACTAGTTATATAATGTGATATATTTTGGGTGTGTATATAAATGTATCTCTACACCTACATGTAATGACTTTGCAGATCTCTACGCCTAATGACTTTGTATGATGCCCACGTGTAATTGGGTTAAGAGAAGTTATTAAGTGTAATTACATGTATATGAGACTGTTTAATAAGACATATTTTTTTAATGACGAGAGAGAGACGTTGTATTGACTGGTAGAAGGACTGGGATGATAAACTAGTTAATGATCTATTAATAACTGTGAGATATGATATAATACTTACCGGTATATTGAACAGTGGCAGTATATTAGGTAATAAACTGTGAGATATGATATAATACTTACCGGTATATTGAACAGTGGCAGTATATTAGGTAATAAACTGTGAGATATGATATAATACTT